ATTGAAATTTCAGAAATGGCAGCAAATGATAAATCAGAAACATGCAAACATGAGATAAATCCCAGTTTGGGTATGAAGATTACACTGAAAGGCATTGCAGCAAAATTCAACAATGTACAACATATTTCAACATCAACACTCTCTGATTGGTTAGAGTCTCAGCCTGAAAATGTGATTCTTTTGGTGAGCTCAATAAGTATTTGGACTTTAATATTACTCTTTGGCTAATCTCAGGTCTTTGAAAAAGTTAGCAGGGAAGTAGGCCTACATTCCAAAGGATGACAAAAATGTTAATGAACTGCTCCAAATTTATTTTTTGTAATCTTCAATTTCAAAACAAGGTTTTGATATATTAGCTGTTTTTTTTTCTTCGAAAGTGTAGAACTAATGTTATATTGTTTTAGGATACAAGACCGGATATAGAATATAATATTAGTCATTTAAAAGGAGCTAGAAGAATAGACTATGAGTCTGATGAAATAGAAAATATTCTACAATCTCTACCTCAAAATAATCAAACAGGTATTTGTTATCATTTTCTGCTATTTTTTATCGTCATTACATTTTCTGCTTGCTTTTAACTGATGCAACAAGATACAGGGTTACTTGACAACTATGATCAACTATGATGTGTGAAAATGTATATAACAAATAAAATTTAGCCCTTCAATAAATTGTTTTCTATTAGAAACTTGGTTTAATGAAACTAGAAACATGCCACAGAATCACTCAGTTTCTGTGTATCGAAATACTAATGTGTATACAAATTAATGATGATATCCTCAGAATTAAAGTCTTCATATTCCAGACAGTAAAGAAAATGTCAAAGTGGTGTGTTATTGTTCTATTGGTTATAGATCTAGTCTCATGGCTAAAAAATTACAACAACATTTCAAACAACAATCAGGTAAGTGTTTTATTTATTAACCAACGAAAGTTGTATGAATTACAAGGTTATTGATATCTTATCTTTCATGGACATTGTGTACCATAAAAACAGTAATTAAATTGCAAACATGAGTTGATATGTACAAACAAAACTTTTTTCCTGCAAGTGTGTTGATTGGTTGCTTTGATGATGACACGAGGTCTTGAATATTTTCATCTGATATCAGTAAACAAGGTTTAATTGCATACGTAAAATACTGTAGAAATATTTAATAGTTTCGGAGGTGTTGAAGATAAAATGATTACTATAATATGACTCAAACATTCCTATTTTATCATTTAATCCAGAGTTAAACTATCTTCTTAGCAAGCGTTCCTTGCAATTCAGGTACGCTGTCAAATAATATAGGTAGATTTCAAAACTGTTATGTTTATCTGCAGGTACGAAACCAGAAATCTACAATCTTGAAGGTTCATTATTTAAATGGGCCAATGAGAAGAGAGAAATGGTAGACCAGAATAATCAACCTACTGTATATGCTCATCCTTATAACAGTCTATGGGGAAAACTGTTGGATAAAGACCTTCGGAGAGAGGGAACGTGATAGTTATCAAGTCATATCTAAAGATCACATAGCGTGAAACTCTGAGTAACACCATGATTTAAGTTCTGTTTTGATATTTCTATACTGCTCTACGAGTGATGTATTGAGCACTATCTTCACAATCAAAATATTACAAGTCTCCACAATGGTTTTCAATAACATTTAGCTCTAATATGGATAAGATCGACTGACGAAATACCAAGACAAAACTAAATATTATTTATTCAGTCAAAATCATCATCATCAAAATATTTATCCTGTTCATCCTGGTCTATAGTTGGTAGAGAATCATATTCACTGTTTTTATCTACTGTGCTGAAATATAAATAGAATTTACTTCAAAGGGACATAATCATGTAATGATTAATACTTCTAGCATTTTCCCTCCCAGCCTTTTACAATACAAAAAAGTTAAGCTTCCATCAGATTTTCAATCTCAAAAGTTGCTGTCAACAGCTAATATTTACGGAGCCCCTAAGGTGCAATTGTAAACATATTTATTTATTATTTCGTTTAAACGAATTAATTCAAAATAATTAATTCGTTTAATCGAAATAATTAATTCGTTTAATCGAAATAATCGAAATAAATGAGCCTTAGGGGCTCCGTAAATATTGAGCTCATCCCTGGTGAAAGAAATAACTATACAACTATTTATTTATTAAACTTTTAGTGGAGATATATGAAACACATGTATGATCTTTGATGTTTGTTGGTGAAGCTGAAACATTCTACATGAGATCTCGCAAAGTGTCAAGATCAAAATAATAAAAATAAAATCAATCCTTGGTTTATAATTGAATAAACCTGAAATTTACTCTTGAATCAAAATGATGACCTGTATTTTGAATAACACCCCAATCTTTACAACTAAATAATAAAAAGTGACTTGTACCTATAATCAAAGAAATGATGATCTTGTCCTGTCAGGAATTTCTCCTGCATCATTTGAATATATTCTGTTTTCAATTCCTGCTGTTCCTCTGAAGATATTTTGGGTTTTTTGTTTTCTGTTTCCTCTTCACTTTCCAATTCAGACTCTTCTTCTTCATCCTCTGGAATTTGAGTTCAATATTTTGGTCAAAATGATATTTGCATGTATTAAGAAAATCATATGGTTTTCAGTTTTGCTAATGAATACTTGAGATAGAAACATTGGGTATGTAAATGAGTCAAATTTCAGAGAATCTGATATAATCTAAGCTTGATACCCATTAAAATTTTAATTCAAACTTACCCTCCTGATCATCACTTTCTGTTTCTTCTGTCTGACATTCCTACAACATTTATAATAATGATTAAATACTACATTTCATTATCGGTAAACTTTAGCATTAGAATTCTATGCACCAAATAAATAATTTTCATATGGATTATATATTAGCTTCAGAAGTATGATACATTAAAAAGATGTTCATAACCACATTTTATTTACTTATTTCATTACATGTATTTATATTTAAAATTATAGTTGCTTTAGTATGGAACTTGAATACTGGTATGTTTGAATGAAACTCAGAAAAAATGAGGCACTTTTAACATGTTTTACTTTGCAGGTTATTATTTAAGGTGATACGTCTTAGAATGAACATAAAATTTAAAAATTTTAAACATGGCCAATAAGAGCATATATTCATCAGTGGATATACCTGATGTCATAAATAATTTTCCAATTTTCTAGATTTTACAGTGATTCTGTTGTAATTTTATAACACCAGATAAGTTCACTGATAAATATATACTCATATTGACCATTCTTGAAAATTAAATTTTATGTTCATTCTAAGAAGTAGTATCACTTTAAGCTTCAAAATTGTAATTATTATCTTACCTGTTGATTTTTCTGATAATAATAAAGTTTATTTTCTTCAATTTGATCAATATGTTTTAATAAAATACTGGAAAATTTTAAATCTGTTTTATCAACACGACTTTGTATTTCATCATCAGTTAAATATTGACCAATCATTTCTTCATAAAGTAACGGATCTCGGTATTTCATTTCTTCTTCTGAGAAATATTCTCCATCTTCCATTAATTTCTGCATCGCAGAATAACGGCGATTATTTACAGTTTTTGCACATATGGACTTATTAAATTGTTTATGAATTTCGCGAACATGAAAATCTATTTCATATTGTCCTTCAAATTGTGTAAAATATATCAAATGTTCTTGTTGAATAAACTGTCCAAATTGTGATAAAAAGTTTGCAGGATTTTTCAATAATTTTTCACACGCAATGTCATATTTCTCCTGAATTGTCAAATCAGGCTCTCCACGCTGCTGACTTTTGAAATGTGCCTCCGATTCAGACAAATGAGTCAACATACTGTGTTTCACTGATTGAAAATCAGTAAGGACTGATATTGGCATATCAGTATCCATTTGTAATTTAGCTAGGTCATTTGAAACACAAGCACTGGCCGCAATGTTAGTTTGTTCTGACCTGACTCGGTCATTTTGGAGCTCCTCTGAAACAGAGGAATCAGTTTCCATTGAATTCCCATTATCAGTGTTATTTTTGCCCAATTGATCACACTCTATACTTGATAAAACTGTGTCCACTTGAAGTTCCACATCATCAGGAGTCTTCACAAATTCAGTTCCTGTGGATTCGCAGATTTCTTGTGTTTCCATTTCCCTAGCTTACACAGTAGAAACAATACCTGAAAATAAAATGAACATTGAAATCCAATAATTTGTTGAAGAAAATACCACAACCAGTAGGCCAGTCATCATAGCCTCCATGAATCCAGAAATCCTACCTTCATTACAATTGTATTTCCCTGGACGTTTGACCAAATTTTCTCTATGATAACATAATCTTTTTGACCGTTTTCAATCCTAAATTGATCTACATTCATTTCTCAAAATGTGAAATACGTTGGCAGAATTATTCACTGGCGGAACCAAAGAGGAGGGGAGGGGGCAGTCACCCCCTTTCACAGCCCCAAAAGCAAGTTTTTCGGGCAAAAAACTCATAACTAGGTTAGAGATTAGGATAACTTTAGATATCTCACCCCTTCCCTGACATAAATCTGGCTCTGCAGTGGTTTTAGGCGATTAGATTAGACTTGACTTTTTAAAGATGGCGGCATGTGGAAGAAGAATAATAATATTAATCAAAATAGATGACTTATTTTTGTTGTCATCATATTTCGCGTTTGTTGGTCACTGCTAATCCAATCGAAATTGCACCAAATCGTATTAGCAAATCGAAAGCAAATCTGACCGGTCGACAAAAACGCCTCATGTCTGAATCGCAATGTTTTGGTTGGGCTTATCTACTGATATCTTTGACAGTGCATTCAACTAACCCAAATTAACCTCGAGTCCATTAAAATTGGCACTGGAAGTCCAGTTTTACCTTGTAAAGTAATTTTTACACTTGAAACCTCACCAATCCAATGGATTTTTCTCTTGGATCGCCTCGGTGACAAAAGGCGATCTGTCGTTTCCGGAGGAATATAGGACAAATCGACCATAAGACATATCGACCCTACGAATTTACAAAAAAGCAAAAATCTGACGAAGATTCTAAAAAGTGGTTTTATGATAAAGTACAAAATGGTAAAAAAGAACACCTTTTTGGTATAAACAAAAAAGAAACCAGTAAGAATAGAAACAGCAATTGCGATGTCCACTATAGGAGATAAGGGAACCAGACGATTCTAGCGGGGACGCAAGATATAAAAAAGCAAAAGCGCTATCTCGATGATAATCTTCAAAACTTGCAAAAAGAGGTGTGCACATGTATATACACGACAATCTACATCTTTAAGTCAGTGTATTAAAGTCGAAAGGAGTAATTGAAACTAATGATATAGATAATATTGCAAATCTTTGAAGTTGAATACAGAATTTACAGAAGCAGAGGTGGGATAAGTGGATGAAGGTATCAAAAGAAAAAGATAAAACGGAATGCTGACGAAATTGTTCGCGATAACCCGTACACTGCACAATACACAGTCATTAGCTTTAATCAATCACGTGGTCTCATTATATATTCAATAACCCTAGGGTCAAAATATTTGGCGGGAGATATCACGTGTCTCTATTACCGCGGGAAAGGGCTTTGTTGTTGTTGATGAAAGAGTGAGAAAATGGATGTCGCTGATCAAACTCAACAAACTAATCAAGTTAAAGATCAAGTTGGTGAACGTTGTCAGAAATTATTCCAAGATTTCCTGGAAGAGTAAGTCATACAGTTACTTTCGCCTTTTTAGATTCATCGCTTACTAACGCAACAGTCACACTCTTGAGTCCTGAGCAGGATCTCAATCGCGATAATGCCGCCTGTGTGGCTAATGTGATGGTTGAGGTTATTAAATGGTGACCGTTATAGCCATTAACCGAGTCACAGTTTACATTCCTAACTGGGACTTTGGTCAGTTACTGTTTTGAAATGGGTCTACAAATGGGCAACAAATTACAAGAATACAAGAAAAAGTTAGACAGCCAACCTGTTTCTGCAATTAGCCTAACATGATATTACACATTAAGCTAATCTTGCTTCATAATGTTAAATAGATCTACAGTATATTTTATATCTACCTACTTAAATAAAAAATTGAGACATTATTGACACCTTCCAGCAGGCAGCATTAGGCCCTGATTACCTTGACAAATTTTAGACTTTTATCATCTTTAATTGTGTCCTAATTAAACAACTCTGGGCTTAAGTTCTCTCTGAATTTCAAATCTATCAGCTGATATGACAAAGATTTTGACAATGACATTGATATATCTGAGTAAAAATACTGGCAGAAGAAAACTATATTAAGAGTTATTGAAGTGACTACGTTGTTGAGTAATGGTGAATAATTGTAGGTATGCTCAAGATGGAGAGAGTAAATATTTGAGTGAAGTACAAGAATTAATCCGACCAGAAAGAAATACTTTAACAGTAGATTTTGAAGATGTTGAGAGGTATAATCAACAACTGGCCACCACCATCCTGGAGGAATATTACAGGTAAAACAATGTTAACTTGTGTGCAGTGAGCTTTGGTGTCTCAGTGGGTTAAACGCTTGCTTGCTAACCTAATAAATTGGGCCAAGAGATATTGGTTCAGGCTGATATCACGATATAACCATCACAATATGGGTATATATTGCTGCCATCGCGATATATTTTAAAAACACTTCAGTCTTGAATATCATGAAGAAAACATTTGTTTCACACATTCAGTTACTTGTTAGAATCGTTTAGATAATCTTATCTGGACAAATATTTGACGATCATATATATGATAACTACCTTATATCAAGATATAACAATTTCAGTATTTTTTACTAATGATATAAATTCTTAGTTCAGGGAATGAGTTGAGATAATACTCAGATAAAATAATAATGTGGATTTCTCAACATGATTTTCCCCTGCCACTGATGCACATCATTTGATAAACTAAATCGCTGTTTGCTACAAGCTGTGCACATTAAAGACCCCCTGGATCATTATCGAAACAGTGTGTTAGAGTTAGTTTTGACTGTGACTGATATTATATCTTGCATCAATATTTATATTGCTTCAGAAGAATGTTTGAAATGAATGATCATTATTGTTAATGTATAACTTTTTTCTCTGTAGGGTTTACCCATTCATTTGTCGAGCAGTTAGAAATTATGCTAAAGATTGGGGTCAAATTCCTCCCCTTAAGGAGTTTTATGTCAGTTTTACTGAAGTTCCAACCAGATTAAAGTAAGTTGATTTATAGCTTTACTGTTCAGAGATGTTTTATCTATGTAACATAGGTAGTAGTAAATATTTTTAAAAGAAAAGAATTTTATTTGCATTATGTCAAAAACTCAGCATAGCACTGACTTTATAAGAAGTCAATTTTAAAATGGCTGTTAAAAATGCAATGTAGAGCTAATTTCTCCTGATTAAGGTTTGTAGCTTTTTGTTAATTTAAAAAATCAGACTGCCCCATTAATGTTTTGGTTTACAAATTGTAGAGTACGAGAAATGACAACAGCTAAGATTGGTACATTGTTACGTATAACTGGTCAGGTAGTTCGTACACATCCTGTACATCCTGAATTAGTCAGTGGTACATTTATATGTCTAGATTGTCGTACAGTCATGAAGGATGTAGAACAACAGTTTAAGTATACACAGGTATTTATTGTTTTGTTGATCATAGCTTATTTTAGCTGGTAACTCATTTAAAGAAATAAAGTGCAACAGAAGAAAAACTTGGATGATTCTATCTATTTCTGTTCTGTAGAATTACAACTTGTAAAAACAATCTTTCGACCATCTGGTCCCTGTCCAAATCTATCGGCATTGATCTTTCAGCACAAAACAGACTTTACATTATCTGATTGTCAATAAAGTAGTAGACACATTTTATCATATTTGTCCCTAAAAGTAGTTATTTCCCTTGATCTATGGAAAACATCGAACAAACTGTTTGTTGCTTGATGTTTTGACAATAAAACCTCCCTTGATATTGTGTTATCAGATAAGAGGTTATCAAATTTGTTTTCCCTTTTAGCCTACTATTTGCCGTAATCCAGTTTGTAACAATCGACAGAGGTTTATGTTAGATGTAAATAAGTCACGTTTTGTCGATTTTCAAAAAGTTCGAATTCAGGAAACCCAAGCTGAATTACCACGAGGCAGTATTCCTAGAAGGTAGGTTGATATGTTTCATTGTTGTTAGAACAATATATGTGCATGATTTACATTCATTTACTGAAATATTCTTCTTGAAGGATACTTATATGTTTGTAACCATGCAAACCTCACAAGCCTAAACTGTTGCCCTATATAAAGTGATGTATGGCTTCATACATTGATTCTTGGCGCTAGATAAGGGATGCGATATCTTGTTGTATGATTATGCTTGATTTTTGTCTCTTGCAGTGTAGAAATAGTCTTAAGAGCAGAAGCTGTCGAGACTGCTCAGGCTGGTGATAAAAGTGATTTTACTGGAACATTAATAGTGGTACCAGACGTCAGTACTATAGCAACACCAGGTCAAGGTCGTGTGGAAACTGGTGCTAAAGTTCATGGTCAACAAGGCAATGAAATGGAAGGTGTTCGAGGGTTAAAGGCTCTGGGTGTAAGGGACTTAACTTACAGACTGGCTTTCTTAGCCTGTACAGTTTCCTCCAGTAATCCTAGGGTAGGTATTATTTACAAAAAGTCTTATTAATCTTATTATTAGGAAATGTACAACAGGCCCCAACTTTCTTATTTTGAATATTGTTCTTGTGAAAAACAAAGGTATAAAAGAAGAACATTTATGAATTATAAAGATGACAGTTCATAGCCACATAATGTATAATGAGTTCAAGAAAAATCAGAGCATCATCCGACAATTTACAGAGTTACAGCCCCTGATATATTGGAAATTTATGCCCATCTTCATTAGCCAACATGGTGCAGAAAAGTAGGAAGTAAAACTCCATTCATTTCATTTCATTTTGAAAATTTTTTCTGTTTGTGAGTATATCTTGCTTGGCAACTACTTGGATCACACAGTTGGATCAGCTATTGTAAAAAAAAAAAAGGTAAATATATATTAAAAGTATGATTATATATGCATATTTTATTTGCTAGTTTGGTGGCAGAGATTATAAGGAAGAAGAAATGACAGCAGAAACTATTAAGAAACAAATGACAGATGAAGAGTGGCAGAAAGTCTATGAAATGAGTCATGATAAAAATTTATACCATAATTTATGTTCCAGTTTGTTCCCTACTATTCATGGTGAGTATGAGACCACTATTTTTGTTGCAACAGACAAGCGACCCAACCCAAAAAAGTTGTGAAATGATGCATGTGGTTAGATAACAGTTAATGACTTTGTTTGAAAGGGAAAATGAATGTGTTAATGCATATAGCTATGTCATGTCATAAACTGAATCCAAAAATAGATGAAATTTCATTCTATATAGATATTTATCTATCAAAGCATAATTGTGTTTTAATATGTATATAATCAGACTAAGTTGAACAGAAATATGTTCTAATCACAACTTTGTATTAATGACACAAATAAAAATATCATTATGACATAATAATGAAAATTGACTTGTAGGTAATGATGAAGTGAAACGTGGTATACTGTTGATGTTATTTGGTGGTGTTCCTAAAACAACTGGTGAAGGAACCAAACTGCGTGGAGATTTAAATGTTTGTGTTGTTGGTGATCCTAGTACAGCAAAAAGTCAATTTCTTAAACAGGTAACTCGGGTTCCTATTTTCTGTACATTTATCCTTATTTTTATCTCAAATATAATCTAGAAAAGAATAGCATTTATACATCATTAAAATGATAAAGCTGTATTAATATGTGCTGTGATAGTTGAATAAGCTCCATTTCAGGTTTTTTTTTGCATAATTAAAGCTGAAAAGTCATCAGATTTGCTGCACAATTGTTTTTAAAGACAATATGTTCTGAAAAGGCTCCTTTTTCTTCTAAATTTGAATGATATAAGATATTATTTATATCAGGTAGAAGAATTCTCGCCAAGAGCTGTATACACCAGTGGTAAAGCTAGTAGTGCAGCAGGTTTAACAGCAGCTGTAGTCCGAGATGAGGAGAGTCATGAGTTTGTCATAGAAGCTGGAGCGTTGATGCTGGCTGATAATGGTGTCTGCTGTATTGATGAGTTTGATAAAATGGATCCTAAAGATCAAGTTGCTATTCACGAAGCTATGGAACAACAAACTATTTCAGTTACTAAAGCAGGTGTCAGGGTAGGTACATGAATTGTTGCTTTCTCTAATGCTGCTTTGAAATGGCCAGTTAAAATGTGATGAAGTGTGCAATGAGGCCAGGAAAGCAGCAAAGAACCACTGACTTTTTATCTATTAAGATATTTTTCGGTAACAATTTATTTTTCTTTATAATAGTTTTTGTATGCAGTTTTATATTGTACAGAAAAGTAGGATGTAAAACTTCTTTCATTTCATTTGTTCATGGAAGTGTTTGATTGGTGGTTTAAAAATCATGTGACATCTTCCATATTTCTTGCCTTGGTCCCTAATACAGGGTTTTCCTTTTGCAGTAAAGTGGTTTCTGACAGGTTGAAGGTATGATGACAAGTTTCAGTGACATTATTGAATACTCTCCCACATGATGAATATGATGTATCACTTCAATGTTTTCAATATCAATTGATATTCAAAGTTATCTGTTCTATCTTTCAGGCTACTCTAAATGCTAGAACATCAATCTTGGCAGCAGCCAACCCTATTGGTGGAAGATATGACAGAACTAAATCATTAAAACAGAATATTTCTCTCACAGCACCTATTATGTCTCGATTTGATCTCTTCTTTGTGTTGGTGGATGAATGCAATGAGGTTAGTTCAGACAGGATTTTGTAAATTTTTGACAGGATTCAATTGCTTGGCGATGTTACTAACAATAGAAATTCTTTTATGGTATTTATTGTTACAGCTTTATACCTACAAGCCTACAGCATTTCAAATGGAAAGATGTTAGAGATCAGAACATGAAAGTAGGACGAGGAAAATACTTATTCTATATCTCTTTAAGCAGAAATAAGAGCTAATAAAAATGGGGCCGACCTAAGAGCTTTTACATTGTAGTTTTAAGTAAGATATCAATATAAGTATTTTTGCAAGCCCATTTATGGTTGGTTGTCATGTAATGGAGTTATGAAATTTTATAGGTAACAGATTATGCTATAGCTAGAAGAATTGTAGAGTTACACAGTAGAAATGAAGAATCATATGAAAGAACATACAGTGTAGAAGATATTACTAGATATATTTTATTTGCTAGACAGTTTAAACCACAGGTTCGTAACAGTTAATCTTTATATCAGCAATTACAGGCATTTTAAAGAGGCTGACAAAGCCTTAATGTGTATTGCAAGAACCATGCGCATCTGACTGGTGCACATCACTGCTATCAGTGGCCCCAAAACACATTAAAAGTAAAAATCTTTTACAATCGGTTTAGATGAGTCAATGGGTGTCTTCATTTTGTTGGTTCATCAGCTTATTAATGAAACCATGCAATTTACAGATAACAAAAGAAGCTAAAGAATACATGGTAGATGAGTATAAGAGATTGAGACAAAGAGATGGAACTGGAGCTGCTAAGTCAGCCTGGAGAATCACTGTCAGACAGTTAGAGAGTATGATCAGATTATCAGAGTCTATGGCTAGAATGCATTGTCAGGATGAGGTATGTTTAAATTACTTTCATATTTCTGGCAAAAGAATGGAATGATGTAGTAATACATAATAATGATAAACCCTTTATTTTACACGGGTCAGAATTAGGTCCATTACTCCAAAATGCCACGGTGCAGAAAAGTAGGAAGTAAAACTCCACTCATTTCATTTAATTTCATTTCCAAAATGCCACGGTCCTATCTAACATTCAGCCCATGTGAACAAACACAGATAAAATGTATAATATGAAGACAAATTTAACCCTTTCAACCCTAGCCGCCGGTTTACCTGCCAAACACTAAAGCAATATATACCCGAGCAGCCGGTATACAGGGCGTTACTGAGTTACATCATACAACGTTAATGTCATACGCTTTTACTTTTATTACTTGGAGTTCAGGACATTATATTTCATTTAAACTCAGGGTTCAAAGGGTTAACAATCAGGACAAAAAGCTGTATTATTGATATAAAAATTTGAATGTACAAGTTGCAAAACTTGGCTTGGTGTAATTTGACCAGTGGCTGTTTATAGAGTATTTGATGATTAGTAATCATATACTTGGCAATAAAATGATATTTATGTATGGATAGTTAGCTCAGATGAAAGGGAATCATAATTTAAAACTAGTGTTCATACACAAATTACATCCATTTTAAAAATCATTGTGTTTTCTAGGTTCAACCGAAACATGTAAAAGAAGCATTCCGATTGTTAAATAAATCTATTATAAGAGTTGAACAACCTGATATTCATTTAGAAGAAGAAGAAAATAATAATGAACAGATGGACGTTGAAGGTTTGTTGATGGTTTAGTGCTCGTAGTGGGTCTTTGGTACGCATAGTGGGTCTTTGGTTCGCATAGTGGGTCTTTGGTTCGTGTAGTGGGTCTTTGGTTCGCATAGTGGGTCTTTGGTTCGTGTAGTGGGTCTTTGGTTCCGTAGTGGGTCTTTGGTTCCGTAGTGGGTCTTTGGTACGCGTAGTGGGTCTTTGGTTCCGTAGTGGGTCTTTGGTTTGCGTAGTGTTTTAATGCAAGGTTAATGCCTTAATTCTGACGTTAGTATGAGTTAAGGAACACTACATGCCTCTAAATTGTGTATTTTGATTCTTTCCTCCCTAAAGTCTTCTACATATCAAATGTAACCGTGATGTTAATTGCAGATTCTGAAACACCAGCCAGTCAAACACAACCATCACAAGATTCTCCTGAACAGACAGAATCTATAACAGCTGCTGCTAAGAAAGGGTTAAAATTAACATATGAAGAATATAAACACATGGCTAATCTACTGGTTGTTTATATGAGACGACAAGAAGAAGAGGTTGAGGGTAAGTCCTAAAAAAAACTCCCACTATTTCAGTGATTGCCTTAATAGTTTTTGCCAAATCGATGTAGAAGGATTTCAGTTGTTATAATTAAAAGATCTCATATCCATAGATCATCACAAATTTCCAGATTTGAACCCAGGATTAATGGCAATGTTGCATGTCATTGTTAAAAAAAAACCCAAATGATTGATATCACATATTCCCGATATGCCTATTTCTTTCCAAAAAACAATGGTGCAGAAAAATAGGACGTAAAACTCCATTTCTTTTCCTTTTTTAAAAAACAAGGCATCACCATGTTCATATTTAGAAGTTTGGTTAACTACTTTCTGCAGATATTTAGATATAATCAGCTTGAAGTTAACATTTTCATTACTGTGTTCATAAGTATATGTTTCTTGATTTCAATGCTGATGTATAATTGGTTATATGTTATTTTAGATGAGGATTCACTTGGATTAAGAAAGAGTGATTTGATTGGATGGTATTTACGTGAAATAGAGGGTGAAATAGAATCTGAAAATGAACTGGTAGAAAGAAAAACTATTGTAGAAAAAGTCATTGATAGATTAATACAACATGTAAGTCTTCAGATATACCTCCATTGAAATGTGACCTTCATTTTGAGAAGAAACTTACTCTTAGATTTTGAGGAAAAGCTCCAGTGCAAGACCTTATTTGCATGATAATGTAGGATAGAAAAGTGGATCTATTGAATGGTCATTTTGCAACATAATTTACATTGTCAATTCTTTAAGAGTATTGAAAAGACCAGAAGTAGCATGCGATATCTTGTAGAATGCATTATATCCCAGTTGCAATCCTTTTGAATTGATGGTGCCTTATGAGAAAGCATGCTCTTGTCTGTCTTATGATTTGTCATAACTTTTCATTTAACATGAACAATAGATGATCTTATTTCTCAATTGGACAATACAGTTTATATGCCCTATTTTTTTTTTATTGCAGGATCATGTATTAATAGAGTTAAAACAAACAGGATTAAAGAAGAGTAAACATGGTGAAGAGTCATTAGTGAGAGAAGATGATCCTATTTTAGTTGTTCATCCTAATTATGCTGCTGATGTATAGTCCTCTAGAGTCTCATTTAGTATTCCAGAAGTTGGTGTCATCCAATCTTGTGATCAGAAACTTTAATCATGAAACGTGAATTATCTCATTGTGCTATGAAGATAAAGAAGGTGCTATGGATATTATATTCGTAAATGATGTTTTGCTGCAGTTCAATCACAAGATATATCTTTTCATTCTGGTTATAGTTATCCAGTGTTCTTATTTTTTAAAATTTATATTTACCAGATCCTTTTTTGCAAGCAATTCTTCAGGTGAATATGTGGGAAATGTTAAATCATGAATTTTTTTAAAAGTTTCTTGTGAGTAGAGACTGGATTTGTTAAATGTTTTGTTTGTCCAATATTATTGTATATTTTGTATAAAATACTATCATGTATAATTTCACTGCCATTAAAAAACACTTATTCTGAATAATGGCATTTTGTTTTTATGGGTTCATTGACAAGAGAAACAGGCCATAAAAGTATTAAGACATTTTATCTTGTCAATCGTGAATCTAGCAACCAGTGTGTCTTGTCAAACTGCAACTATATCTGGTCAATCTCTTGCCATAATATGTAAAACAAGTCCAGCAGTCATAATATCTTGTCAAACTGAAATCCAGCAGTCATAATATCTTGTCAAACTTAAGTCCAGTAGTCATATCTTGTCAAACTGAAGTTCAGTAGTCATAATATCTTGTCAAAGTGGGATCCAGCAGCCACGTTATCTTGTCAAGTGGGTTGAGCAGACAAAATTTGCAAGCCAAAATAATCATGTTGGAGAAACATTTCTATAAGCATAAGGCCCACATATTGCCATAGCCAGAACTCCTCACTTGGTAAAATAAGATAGTTCACCACAGCCATATGCACCCACCACGGCATGCAGATGGTAAATATTCAAGATTTTGGGGCAAGGGCAATAACTCTGCTTTTAACAGTCGAAAATAGCTCAAATTCGATCTTGATCTTCGTTTTAAGAATATGTATACACATACCAAATTTCATTTGATTCCATCAAAAAATCTAGAGCGTTTACAAGCAAATGTTGAAGGACGGATGGACAGGGGTGCCGACAATATACATACACATAGAGAGATGTGGGCGTATAAAAATGGCTAACTGATTGGCAAATACACAATTAAATAAACGAATTTCTGTACAAATTTATTTTGTGAAAAAAAGGTGTATGAATACACCACACTATCACAGTTGAAGTTTACATTTAACAACCTAAGCCATGTGACCTGGCTTGATCATATTGACAAGTATTTCAATTTGTTCTTCAGTTGATAATCCACGAGTACCAAACAAATTCTGTTCACTTTCGTATTAATTCAAGTAAAGAACATTTTGAAATATTTGCCATACTGAGCTACACCAAGGCCTCCACTGACTTCTGTACAATTATCTGAGAGTTGTCTCCCATTGACCAGCTATCTTCCAGTCATTTATGACTAACAATATGAAATTACATGCCATTCTAATTAGAACCATAATTATTTCAAAATATATCACATAATTAATTGTTAATTAGGTCACTCATCATGGAATATTGAATTTGGTTTTAAAAAAACGTTTTGGATATCATTGTTTCGTATGTTTGATCAATTTGGATTCTAACATCTGATACAATTTTTTACAACGAAAAGTTGTATTATGGATCTCAATATTGCAGATATTTTTTTTTTTGTAAATTCATGATGAGGACCTATAGAATACAAAGTGGAATAGAACATGCAAATAATTAATTATAATCTATCTTAATTCTATTTCTATTTAAAAATTCATGATTTTTATGTTCCTTATAAAGCTACAGGTTAACTTGGGGAACACCATAAAAATGGCTAATGGCTCAAAATATGAACTGCAATAATTTTATTTCAAATTGCGAGCTGGTATTATTCTGAATTGCATTCCATGCTGAAAACTGAAAAAGATTTGTGCGTTTTAACAGATAGTTTTCATACAATTGAATAATTTGTAACTGATGCTTCAGTTGAGTAAAGGAAGAAATTTGTTTAATCATTGTGTGTTTTTGGAGATATCGGAAGTTGAAAAGTTGCAGGCCAACAAGTAAAAACAACTTAAAAAAAATTTTCTTCAGATTGCTCTTACCATTTTGGCTGCCAACAGAATACAAAGAAGTTTAAATATTTCAAAAATCAGGATTACATATAAATTAATGAATGTGTTAGAATAAGCTGCATCTACAATTGCAATGAACAAAATTGGAATTAACTTGTCAGGCACCAAAACTTCCTCTTTGTTAAACCAAATACATGATCACATCTAATTCAAGAGTTCAACAAAGAGTTTCAGGTTGTCATATTCATGACTGACATGTCATTTCCAGTCTTAGCAATGAATAAACTAATTATGTATCCACGTTTACAATATTCAAATAGCAATCACACATTTTAACAAAAACATGAAGATCTGAAATGTCTACTCGTACACCAAATAACGTTCAAGTTTAAAAAATTGTACCCGTTTACTAAATTGGAAATATTATCTATGTTCACACTATAACTATGAAAGCACTGAGAACCCTGTTGCAAGTGAAAAATGAAATTCAGCATATTATAATAAAGGCACACAGCCACACAAATACATGACTAATTCATACATAATTATATTTAAAAGAACATTGAAAGAGAACTGAAAATGTATGGACAATAGGTGACAGAGTAAGAATTTTGAAGATAAAGTAGAACATGCAAACGTTGAGAGTTGGGACTGATTTTACAGATAAATTTTAGCACTATTTGGTTTGATAATATTTAAGTTCAATCTATAGGGAATTTAAACTGAGCACAATATCACAAGCATTGTTGACTCTCTAAAATTCAGCACTGGGCCCTTCTGACATTGGCATTCAGGATAAATTTTCAATGGTCGTTTCAAAATGGCATTCAATTTCATCTTTACAATAACAGCAAGGATGGGAAGCAAAACAAATTTCCTATTATAAAACTTTTGATTTAAGCAGTACTCAGACATGTATTTCAATACAAATCAAAATGTGCAAAATTAAAAAAGCAAAAAATGTGGTCAAACAGTACATTGTGCCTCTTTAAAATTTGTAGGAAATTCATTTTTTCTTTCCAGCCACACTGTTCAACACTAAATTCACATTTTTATCTTGATCCATGATATTCCATTAAATGACAAAATTACAACAAAGCTTTGAACTTTTTTTTTGTCGTCATTTACATTGTTTCCTCTTGACCATTTTCATGGTTACAATTAGCAACAACAAAAATGGGTTATCACCACGGCAACACCACCATTAATACATGATTACTATAGTAACTAACATCAACAACACATCTAAGTATCACATGATCACGGTATCATAGCAACACGATGGAGGTTGGCATGGTTTCGTGATGTAAACACACCAGTACTTTAAACTATACACCGAGATGAATCTGGCACATTTCTTTCACGTAACGTCCATGGCAACGACTTTATCTTCTCCTAAATTTATCACTTTTTTACTGTCTTCATGATTTTGGCTGAAAAAAATCAAACAGAACATTGGATTATGATTGCATCACAATATATCAAAGTGAAATAATTACAGCTCCTCAGATAATTTGAAAATTGAAATTAAAATTCTAATGAATTTAGTTCTGTCCCTTACTAATAAAAAGACTGCTCAAATGATTTTTTATTGCTTAATAATGGGAAGAGGGTATCTATCAAAACTTACCGAATAATTCCCAATGAAACAGGTGAATTTGATGAGAGCTTGCGAATGTTGGCTATATTAGGATGAATAATATTATTTCCCTTAGTGTCACTGACAGACAGTGACGTCACAGTAACTGGTACTGTTACAGTTCGAGGTGCTGTCGTGGCAGTTAATGATTGGAGGGAAACTGTTGGTAAAGGATGAGTAGTGACTGCTACCGGCAATCCTTTATTTATTGAAGAGTCTTTTACAGCAGTAGTTTGTGTTGATGTCAAGGCTGATGCCAATGATGATGATGATAATGTTATGTGTGATGACGTCACTGATGATGTTGTTGATGAGGATGATAATGATGATGATGTGTTATTATTGATGGGAAAATTTAGTTGTAATATATTGGCAGCTGGTGATGTTGAAAGCCCACTTGGTTTGTCTGAAAAATAAAGTAGATCATTGATAAGTTCATCTTTGCTAATGAGGTCTGCAGACTCTCTACAAGAAAGTTTCTAACTAGACCCAAAATCAAGATCTTATCCCATGGTTGAAACTAACTTACCAAATTGTCACATATCTTTTTAATAGGCATAGCAAAAGCATAATCATATCATAGATGGAAGAGCAAATATCCAAAATATAGATATCCCAAAGAATAAAACACAGCACCAAAAAAAATACTCACTATCTAGAATTGGTCCATTGACTAATGTAGTCATATTATTATTATTATTAGCACCACTATTAGCACTCTTTATATCTGAAGAGTTCAATACAGCTGTCACAGCGAGTTCAGCACTAGCTCTATCTAGTGTAAACCGCGAGGTTGGCTGTGAGCAAAAGGAATGTTCTAAACTAATTGAGCTGTCCATTTCTAAAGTTTCCATTAAACGAAGTTTTTCTTCTTGTTCACGTTTTTGTTGTAAAACTTGTTCCTTGTGAGTCTGATAACTTTCCAAATTAAATTCAAACGTGTCATTATTTGAGATAGAGTCACTGATTTTTATTTTTTCTTCAGGAGGTGGTGTGCGGGGTCGAAAATGTGGTCTGAAAAGAGAAATGAGAAGTATTAAAATATCAGCATTGCATAGAAATACATACGAAATCTAAAAAAATATTTCAAGAGTTTCACGCAGGACAGACATCTGACCTATTTCAGCCTGTCATGATCATTACATGTATTATGTCTGCAACACATTAAAATATTAAATTGAAGCCAATCCTTTGAACATCTATTTCACCTTATGTTCGCTTTTTCTGAAGACCACTATACATGTTTTGTCAGAAGATAATTTACATTACTGTCATAATGAAATAAATAAAAACTACACTATACACTTCATTTACATCAGACATAACTAACCTTTCCTTTTTCCAATAAAATAACCTTATTAAATCTATCAAGTCAAAAAATAAAACTTAACACTGCATACAAGCAGGATTATATACTTACATTTTTCTTTCTCTAATATAGGTGATGTATTCTGAGTTTTTAGATGTAACACTATGACCTGGAGTTATTAAATCCATTCTGTCTAGCGTATCATCCCATGGTGTATAACCTCTATCTATCAACACTCTGAAAACAAAGTTAAAAAATATTGATAAACACACTGAACTTCATATCAAAAGTCTGTGGGGACGATTCTCATATTGACCTATCACAAGCTTGCTCTTCATGTTTCTTAAATTCTGCATTATAACTTAATTGAGACAAAAAGGGATAAATAAAATGATGTTGATGTGGTTCAATTGCCAACCAAACAAATATTAACAAAGAATGTCAGAAGAGGTTAAAAGAAGAAAGAATATCTTAATGTAGAAGACTTTATACATTCATTTTGTGACACACCACATTTAGACTTTTCGCAGATCTCCAAGCAGATTCACACAACTACAAATACTAATTGCAATCAATCAAAATAGCATACCTGCCACCACGCCCCACTCTCCGTCGAGCATAACCAACACAGTTTCTAGGTTGAGGTAGAGATAATAATGAATAACGATATTTTTTATCACCGAGACCGCCTTCTTCTTTACTCGACCATGGCCAGTTGCCTAGACGATTTAACAATGGCTGAAAAAGATCAATTGTCTATGAAAATTTTTGTTACACAACAAAGTCATATAGTTATCTTTATGTTTTTCAGTTAAGATAAATATACTTTTTGCTATTTTGTCAATGATAAACATATAAAACTCTTAGTATTTTGGGGAAAATGACGATGTAGAAACAGTTTTAAAATGTTTAAAGAAATTGAGTGAATGTAAATAAAGAAACATTGATGCAATTACAAAACTGGAATTCTGTAAACTAATGATTACTTACAGCATAATAATGACAATTTTTCCGTCTTTTGAAGGCATAAGGACCATCTGGATCATTCTCATCTTCATGATCAGATTGTGACATTCCCTGAAAACAGAATTATTTAAATATTAATTAGCAAAGAATTGAGTACCAGAATTTGTAATGAAATGACAATATATCAACTATTGGTAGCCATTAAAATGAAATTTTACTGATATGTGTCTGACTACAGAGTTGACAAGAAAGACTTTTGATTGTAGTCAAGGTTCTATTGACCATTTGAAAGAACCAATAAAAAAAACACAGTATAGAATAGTGAAGTAAGAATAAGAATAACATACAGGAGAGAGTCCTTCCTCTTCGGAACTATCTAAATCATGATGTAAACCATCCAGATCATAATGTGAAGATGATGTAGCAGATTGGGCTGTTTGTGATATTGATGGTGGTTGTTGTGCTGCCTGTTTACGTTTTCTATAAGTTCTCTTCTTTTTATGAGGAACTGGAGCTATATCCTCCTGTAATATAAGACATTTTAAAATATTTAGACTTTTTGTCAGAATGCTTATTAGGATTCAAGAAGTTTTTATTGTCACTATAATAAGATGATCCAGAGTACTTCAATTCATATTGTTTATGACATTATCATACATTAAAAAGGTTCTTGAATGACATATTTACTTTCCTTTTAGCAATGTTTATATAAAAAAAAATTGGGCAGTATAAAAAACAAAAGTAGAACAAAACATCATGAACCAACCATGTGGAGTGGACTTTCCTACGTAGTATCTTATATAGTTGAAAATCACATTCACAGACTTGCATCTGGTGTTTCAATAAAAAACAAATATTGGTATTATATTGTAAAGATCTTGTAATAAATAAAGAAAACCTACCCCATTCAAACCGGTGACCCATTCACCCTGTCTGTTAAACATGAATGGTGGAACAAATGATGGATGTTTACTTCTTTCAGCTTCAGCTTCTGATAATAACGTACCATTAAAATCTTCTGCATGATATCTGTAGAGGAGAACAATTTATAAGCCAAGTTCATATATTGTTATCTTCAAAACCAGTTATAAAGCCAACAAGGAACTGTAATGGCTAGTATGCTTATTGAAATATTGCTCTAGTATTCTATAGCAGTCGGTTAGAGTGTTGGTTCTTAACGTGACATCAGCTGCTTGGTTACATTGATTAAATGGGGATGTAGGTTCTAATCGTGATTAAGTCAGCTTCAATCATAGTTCCATTTGACCTAGCTGTAAATGTGTACAGGTAATCCAGGAAAAATCAATGCCAAAAGGTTTGGCCATGGACCAGCTGGTAGACAGGATTCTTTTTGATCCTAAGTTGTTATCCTTGTACAATATAGCTGCTTCTTTCTTTATTTCTTTTCTTCTTTATTATATTCGTAATGATAACTGATTTAAACCAGTACCCTTGACGATACAATTTCTTTAAGTTGTATTATAATATATAAATTACTGTACCTTTTCTCTAAGACTTCAATGGTCAACTGTAAAATTTCCTTTTTAGATTTTTCTCGACGTTTGATCACTTCTAACAAAGTTCTGAAATATAATGAATTTATTCTGAGACTATGACATTTGGTTCAGGAAAAGAAAGAAAATTTCGCTGTAAAAATAACCAATTCTGAAAAGCCAATTCTTAATCTAGAAGGGATTTAAATGATGTATTCTGAACTTCTACTTTGTCTGTATTTTTCACACAATATTTAATAATATATCCATATATACAAAATTAAAATATATCAAATAATTTCATTTGGTTCTTTAGCTTTTATGTAGTTTGTTGTGTCATTGCATCATTTTAGTCTTTGTTTGAGATGTTTGGATTTATTTCACATTTAACGAGACATGAAGATGTAAATTACCCCATTGGTAAAAGCACAACATAGTACAGTTTAAATAGCTAAGAAGAGAAATCAAGCTGTTTATTGGGACACTTACACAGCTCGATTTAAATCACGTCTTAACTTCAACATCTTTTCATAAGATGATTCGTCATTCTTGCGATTCTGAAAATTAACATGAGTTATTTAATCTTGATGCATATTAGATTGAATCGTAAATAGAAACCGCGACAAAAATGCTAACAGTTACAACTGGTGAAAGTATATTGTTGAAAATAGTCTTTTCACAATACATGTATGTCCTTCATAGTCAGTGGAAAATATTCATGCCCATTCCTGGATCTTTCAAAATATAAATACTTTGTTCTTTGAAATAATAAGTAAAAACACAAGTTAGACCCAGATAGTGTTCATTCAGACATTTGTACTTCACTATAAAAGCAAAGATACATGTTTATAGTTTAAAATATCCCTGAATATACATAAATATTTTTAACTGATGAAAGCTTAGTTTTATTTATTATGTCATTAAAATATTTGATTTTAACATGTTTTAATTGTGAAAATGCACATACTTTTCGAGTCTGCATCTTCTCAGTTCGCCGTCTGAAAGCTACATAAGGATTATTTGTAGTTGATCCATCTCGTTTTTCTGTTTTCACCTGAGGTATCAAAGGTTGTTGCTGAAAGAAATTGATACACATGAATTTTGAAAGAGTCAGAATTTGAAGTACATGTATAACCAAATCAATGAGAGCTTTTAGTTTTTGATTTGTATTTGGACACATGGCCCTTCAATAACACAAATATGACGATGAAAGATATTTAACATCTCCACCAAATTGAGCAGACTGATTGCTGAACTGATTGGACAATGTCCATCAGAAAAGATCTACAAAATTGTACCTAGCATTAACCCTTCAAAAAAAATCTACTTGAAGATGTTATAATTTAACAATATCTACATAATATAAACAAAATTGATTGCAAACCAGCCTATAACTTACTGTTTTTAAGCGTTTATTTAACCAATAATCATAAACTGCTATAATGAGATCATCATCTTCTTTTAATAACAGTTTAGCTTCCTGTAACGTCACAACCTACAATAATCAAACATATATTTCAGCTAAAATACAGAATGGTTATAATTAGGTAATTTGATGCTATGATGTTCCAAACTTTACTAACTTGGAACTAAAACACTTTACCTGATGATTTCATCAAATCTCACTTGATTTTTTGTAAATGTATTTAAACTTCATAAGCTTATTATGTTCCTCATACAGCATTTTTTTAAAAATAATTCAAATACCTACCTGTTGACCACTCCCTTTCTCTAGCCTATCCATCATCTCTTCAAATTTCAAAGGTGTTATTTCCATTTTCTTAGCCTGTTCATTCATCCAGGTTTCATCCTCACTATCCATGTCATAGTCAGGAATTTCCTGGTCCATTCCAAACGCTGTAAATATTACATTATATCATTGACATAGGCATTAAATAATTGTGGCACAATAAAGTTGGTTCCACTATTTTTGTTTTTAAGAAAAATCCTTGCCATTTCATGATGGTAAATAGCATTTCAACTTAGCAATATTATTGTGTGTGGATCTATGTGATAGTAAGGTTATTACCTTGGATGTGGATATATTGTTTAGAAAGTTTGAAATCATCTTTGTAGAGTATTCCATATCTTTCACCAATATCCTGGATCTCTGGAATTGGAATAACCAGCTTTTCTGAAGAACCATAGACCTGCTGTGCCGATAATGCCCTTTGAAGATGATGTTCCTGAACAAATAAAAATATCATATACCATATTTAACAATTTAATTTTTCTAATTCATTCAAAAATTTATAAGTGGTGTAACACCATTACAAACAATGAATACTAGTACTAGACAAGGCAAAGAAAGGGGGCTTCCCATAAAAATGTACCAATCATCAAATTTCACAAGAAGATAAAAATAACTGTGAAAAAATTAAATTATAACCAGACAAAGGTGTTAAGCCTAATCAGATTAATGAGTGTTAATTAGTCTGTCAAGCTCCACTGAACCAATGTTTACATGGTAAAACTAGGTCAACTCACCAAACGACCTTGACCTTGCGAGTGAACAATAATGATAAATTCACACCCAATTTACTGAGCACCAGTAATTAAAAAATCAATGAAATTTTTAACACATCAAAGCTTGATAACAAATAAGAAACATATCCAAATATTAACATGATGCGCTGCAACCTAAACGAGAAATTCGTAATAGAAAAATTGTTAAGTTCAAAGCGCAAAATTTCCAAGATGGCGGCATAGAAAAAACTGGGTTGTCCCTGAAAAACCTCAATATGCGTACCGTTTCTTCCTCTTTTTCCATTCCCGTGGGCATTTGCGGCACGGATCTGTTGATGGTTGCAAAATCAGGCAAATCTGGGATTTCATCGGCTCTGTAAACAGGCATAGGCTTCGTGGCGTCCAGCGCCCGAGCCCTAAACGACACCTTACTCATTTTCGCAGCTCCCGGATATGCTAATGAGATAGTCTTAAGAGTTTTTCACAAAATGTGAAGGTAGTAGCCCTTTAAACAGGACTCTACCTAGCTTCAATCAAAGCTTAATGTTTGTACATTTCGATCAACATGAAAAGTATGTATTTACACCCCTAAAAAAATCACAGTTAGTCCACAAATCCAGCATTTTTCAAGCAATTTTTCCTTTCCATCATGGCGGATAAGTTAGACCATGAAGGTATCCCAGGATTCCGTCTTTCGCGCATGCGTTTTCATTGAACAAGTATTGAATGGTGTGGAAAGTTGTAAGATTTTTTTAGAGGTATGAATTCATTATTTTTACATCCTCGATTTCATTATAAATGTCTCTGAGCATCGTTGATGTAAAAGCATCACGAAGCTGTTGGTGTCTGTTTATTTCAAATTTTCAACATTTTTGGTGCAGACAGGCGAATATGAAAGAAATATGGCGAGGCGAAAAATATACTTTTATTTTCACATGCTCAAAAGGGGGCGTGGCCTGTAGTATTATATGATACTACTACCTTCTATTGAAATTTGTAGTACACAAAAGCTAAATAAATTGCTTTGATAGAAAAGGTCATTTACCATTATAAAAATGACATGCATTACACTGGTATTATATAAGTTTCTCTCTAATAGTATTATATTTTTGGAGAATACAGCTTATGATGTCTATACATGTCATATTTTTGTAGCTTTAATAATTCTTTGTTTTTTTATTATATGTAGGCTACTGTCCTATACGTTTCCAGAAGCTTGACCTAAATGGTCTACAAGAGCAATGACTGATACAAAAGTAGTAATAGTACCAGGAAATGGATGTACCGATCCACTCCGAGCTAACTGGTATGGATGGTTATACAACAGATTGATACAAGCTAGAATAGATTGTCGTTTAGAAGAAATGCCCGATCCATATGATGCTAAGGAGAGTGTATGGATTCCTTACATGCATGATGAGTTAAAATGTGATAAGAATACCATAATTGTTGGACATAGCTCTGGTGCAGAAGCCGCTATGCGCTATGCTGAGAAGTATAAAGTTAAAGGAATCATTCTAGTCTCAGGCTGTGTAACAGATCTCGGAATGGAAAGTGAAAGAGTGAGTGGCTATTACAATCGACCCTGGTTATGGGAGAAAATGAAAGCCAACACTCAATTTATTGTCTATTTTGGTTCTATTGATGATCCATATATTCCATGGGCAGAGCAACAGGAAATTGTAAACCATTTAGATCCAGAGTTATATAAATATGATGACAAGGGACATTTTACTTCCAGTACTTATTCTGATCTGTTAAAAGTTGTTCTAGCTAAAGCTAAATCCTGACCACCGTGGAATATAGTCGGTTGTTTTATCAAATGGTTATGGTCTTAAATTATAGAAGTATATAATCAATGGTAATTGTGCAAAATTGTTCAGTGAAGTGCTCAAGCATGCTATGCATTTTTTGCTATGAAAATATAATTTGTGTTGATTGACGCATTTGACACACTAATGCCTATCAGTTTTTTTTTATGTATAATAGAATATTTGTTCAGTCTTGTCTGATGTTTGTTTACCATAAAAAAATTACTTTTCAAGGCTATGGACTATATTTTAAACATTGTAGGTTACAGTGTTATTTGTAATTTGTCTTTCTTTATAAATACCAAAGAATAAAAAAGATTTATATTGTGTATATTTAAAATAGAGTCATATTGAAGGAATATATAACATGACAGATTCGCCATTTGTAGTTGTACCTTAGTCTCAGAACTGGATTTTTTTTAGATACTGATAGCATCAATTTGCACCATTCAATTTTTCAGTCAGATGTCTGTGGTTCCTGTAAAGATAAGTGTTTGACGTCTCTAATCTCAAAACATGCTTGTATTAATGTGCTTCATGATGAGTGACGTCATCAAACTTAGTTTTAGTGGAATTGCAGGACCCACAGACGTCGGATTCAAAATTCGAATGGTTAAAATCGATGCTATCAGTGTCCCCAATACACTCAAAAGATTTAGAGAGCCTCATTACAATCCTTTTATTTTGAGCCAATCATAAGTTTGATTCTATGAAATTGATATGAGTTGACTATATACTTAATAACTGACACTTGATATATAATAGCCCTGCTTGCAAGTGTTTACAAATATACCTATTATATCCTTCAATGTTGCATAGCTTACTAATACAAACTTTAATTTATAAGGCTTAGTCACTTTAATCTGAATATTGTTGTAAGGTAGCAGCTTTAATTTGAATGATAGTTGACAATAATTAATGTATATATTAGACTGTAACAGCAGTAATGTACAAGATGACTAATAGAACTAAAAATAACTTAATATTTTATTTCCATCAATGGTACATAAATAACATTCAAAACAATCATAGAACAATTATCATTTAACAGTATGTTAAATTTCTTATTTTAAGAGTATCTGGAACCAAAATGTTTTTCTTGAGGTTCGAATTATAATATGTAGTACATAATATTTTAATTCTGACAGAGGGTGTTTTGTCATATAATTATTATTAAAAAGAAAGAGAATAGTAGTTTGTACCCCCCACTGAGAGAATCTCAGACCTCTGCATGCAATGACTCGCACCATATTATACAGTTATACCCCCATTGAGTTGGTTGGTAGATGACAAGTTGACATTCACTTCCAGCAGATGCTGATAATGCAAACTAGGTAGTTGTTAGTAGTCTTGGTAGTTAGATTGGTTCAAATTGGATGATTCAAAGGGTTAATGACCCTGTACATACTCCCTTCATAACAATAGACAGACATTGTCTAAATTTTTATATTTTATTACATAAAGACAAGATACAAATACAAAATCATCTCCTGTACATATACTCCATAACAAAAACTCAACAATGCGTAGTCTTAGATTCATCTACTGACCAACAATAGAATACACAGCCAAAAACTGACAACAAATAATTCATTTAGTTCATTAGTACATGTGCTGCTGCCTTTTAATTGTTATTAGACTGGCATGCCCACCTTGTTTCAAGAATTCCGGTTTAGTGAATTTGAAAATAATATCAATACATAGGACTTACGCATTAAATTTGTTATACTTCTTGTATCATAACATTGTATCTTTTCTTCCATATTGATTATCAGAAATTTTGGTTTCACTTTTTGAATTGATTATTTTCTGACCTGGCACTGGTGGACAGTCAGTTGACAGTGTTTGTCATTGTATTGTCTTCGACAAATGATAGTACAGTTCTGTCATGTGATGCAAGTAAATTTAGGGTTATGAGCTCTGTTTATTGAATAATTCAAAAGTCCCCAATGAACTAGAAGCCTCAGAACAGCAACTTGATTATTACCATTCTACTATTCCTGTATACTTCTCTCTTCTCTTCAGAACAATAACCATCACAAAGCACTTTCTATTTAAATTTCATTCACACATGAATACTAAATTCTACTTTCATCATTTTTTCCTCGTTAACACAGTATTAATTAAATTAATTAAGGCTTGCTGTGATTCTGATTGTTTTAATAATTTTATTTGTTTAATAGCCTCCCTTCCATGTTGATTTGCTAGGTATCTTGTTTCTTCTACTCCATCACTCTGAAAATAGTCAATAAAAAAAATAAGAATTCACAAAAGTCAGCAAAAATCATCTTCAGCACTGAAGAATAATCAGCAAGCACCTAATGTATGGGGTATATGTCAGCTGATCTACAGGAATATCACAGATTCATATTACAATGACATTTCCTGTTTCCAGATCCCTTTCAGTTATTGAATAAAATATTACAAGCTTGTGACCCTTCAGACAGGTGACTAGAAATCATAACACTAATAGTTTTCTAAAAATTTAAGAAAATCAATAAATGACAACTTCCAATATTATCTGGCTTACAACAGATTTTTCAACATATTGTTTCAAACATTCTCTATCAAAACAGCTACTACCAACCTTAGCAACAAGATGTCTAGCAGTTTCTACATCGCCATCTAATGAAAACCGTCTCATTATAAGCGAATTTAACTCTGGATAATCTTGAGCAGCAAATAAAACAGGAGCAGTGGCTAATCCTAGTTTTAAGTCAGCGGCAGTAGGTTTACCCAGGATTAAATCACATGAGGTAAAGTCTAATAAATCATCTATTAACTGAAAGAGTAAATTGATAAAATCAGTATCTGACATCAGGTTGGTCTTTAACACAAGTCTCCTTTCAGATATATTTGTATGCCTCTTATTTCCCTATCGATGGCAGTTATCTCCCCAAAAATAATAATAACATTCAATTGTTTCAATCTTCCTTTGCTAAACTATGTGGTTTTTTCAGGGACAAGTCTTAAACTGAGCACAAACAACTTACTTGAAAAGCTATTCCAATATTTTTTCCATATTGATATGCTATTTCAGTTACTTCTTCTGGACAATTTGCTAAAATAGATACCTACAAATGAAAACAAAATTTTTAAATTATTATAATAAGCCATTAAAGTTCCACTCATATTTATATGTGGCACTTTACACCATTTACAACATGGCTTCCGCTTGAATACATCGTTAAATCTGTGTTCAAACCCACATACTAATTATTTTAACTATTTTATTTTTATCTCTCCAATTCAAAGGATTAAACCAAAATTCAGAAAAATGTTTGGATTATACTCACAGCTTGACAACTATTTGCCAATAAACTGGCAGTTTTTTTAAAAGTTTTCCTGAGATAATGGGTGAATCTTTCACTTTCATCTTCTTTTGATCCCAACTGCATAAATTCACCTGAAATTATCATAGGAGTTGGGGTTCGAGAGAGTGCAAGAGTAAAGGAGGACTGTGGTGGCCTAATTTCAAGTACGGTAGTAAAATCTATTGCTCAAAGTAAACTTGCAAGGTCTCAGGTTTTGATGAGGGAGAAAGATAGCTATAAAGGTTTCCCCTTAAAACAGATGATGGGGCACTTTAGTGGCTGTTTAAATAGGAAAATAGAAGTACAACCTACCCCTAACGAGATCCTCAATCACCTGAGATAATATTATAACTATTTGATCATTTCGTATTCTAGCTAATAACATAGAGGCTATAGATATTACATAGTCACCAGCTAATATAGACTGAAATATAAAATAACATAAAGGCTATAGATATTACATAATCACCAGCTAATATAGACTGAAATATAAAATAACATAGAGGCTATAGATGTTACATAGTCACTAGCTAATATAGACTGAAATATAAAATAACATAGAGGCTATAGATATTACATAATCACCAGCTAATATGGAATGAAATATAAAATAACTTAGAGGCTATAGATGTTACATAGTCACCAGCTAATATAGACTGAAATATAAAATAACATAGAGGCTATAGATATTACATAATCACCAGCTAATATGGAGTGAAATATAAAATAACATAGAGGCTATAGATATTACATAATCACCAGCTAATATGGAGTGAAATATACAATAACATAGAGGCTATAGATATTACATAATCACCAGCTAATATAGACTGAAATATCTTTAAAGCCTGCATAACACTGCAAGGACCTTGAAAGCCAAAGCCTATTTTCTAAGGCTATTCAACCTTTTAAGGACTTCGTTTTACAGACTACGACCCTGACTACAAGGCCACAGCCCCTGTTTTCAACGCCATGCCTTGTTTTTTGGGACATACAAAGCATTAAACATGTTTCCCTTTTTCACATTCTAATATTAGCTAATTCAAGGCTTCACCCCCTGGTTTTAATCAATTGCAAGGCACTATCCGACTCTCGAAGCTTCACAAAAACCTGCTTTAACTTAGATATTATGATACATACCATTCTCTGTCCCCAGACCATATTAATACTAGTCTTTCCTCTCCTGGTATCAGCAGCGTCTATAACATCATCATGTATTAAACTAGCTGTATGAATCATTTCACTAATCATAGCTATTTTATTCTGATCCTCTGTAATCCTACAATATTCATCACAAATATTTCTCCTGACATAAAACTAGTTACAAATGTTGTTCGGATTAATAAATGATCATTTTCTTAATTGAGCGTATAGTATAGTTGCCAGCTTCCTTGATATCAAACCAACTGCTTATAAAACCTTATACCAACATTATAATTATATAAAAGTTGGTATAAGGTTTTGTAAGAGATACTCTCTTATAGAAGTACTGGCCTAGGCCACAAGTAGAGATTATGGGTTTCAGCATTGGAATACATCAATTGATAAGCTACCTACTTCTGGAGAGATTTACAAGATAAACAAATAATTCAAAAATGCAAAGTGTTTGCTTCAGGGAGTTAATGATAAGGGGTCTAATCTACCATGGACAAGAGTTACAAGCTGCTTTTGAGATGAAACTTTTCTTTTTAAAATATCAGATAGATCTTATCTAATTAAGTTCGACTTTCTCATCCATGATAATGAAATATCATGATTTTTTTAAAACACATGCAAGAAATAATGACTTACAATGATTGTGAGAAGTCATGATGTTGATTACAGGCTTGAGACATTAATAATACCACCATTGGTCGAAATAATTTACCTTGTCCATCAAAATAATATTCTACTAATTTATATAATTCTTGACTGGCACCTTGTAATTCCTGTAACACAGAGAGATATGATTATGTGAATTGAAATTGGGTTTTTATGTCAATCTTTTCTGCACCTGTGGGTTACTGAGGAAGGACAATGCCATGCAGTGTACAATGATGGAACCAGGAAAAGCATCAGCCTACTCTTTTCTGATTCTCAACTGTCGAGGGATCTTCAACATGCACAGCCTTCAGGGCCATATGAATGACTAGACGCTTTTTCATTGCCATACCTGAGACATGCATCACTGACAGGGGATAGGAACTCGGTGGAAAAACATTATTCGTGATTGAAAATATCAGAAACAAAAGTTAATGTTTATACATATAATTTACTATATGCCATTACAATATTACTGAAACCAGTTCACTAGTTTCATTATGGTTAACCTCAGACCTGTTCCTACCTGTTTGATTTGAAGAGTTAAAGATGAGATCTGTTCTTCTACCAGCCTATGAGGATCAATAATTTCCCGTGGTTTTGTTGTTGAATGGATTTCATCTTTAATGCTACTACTATTAAATACACGAACTTGTAAACATGAGGATGGTTGATGATATATGGGGATGTGCATCTGAAAATCGAGATACAAATATTAGCCTTAATACTACCATAAGAAATTGTTGGCTTATTATAGATCTATAACAGGAGGGTGCAATGATTCTTTCTAGTTTTAAAGGGAGTTAATAAATAATTCATTAAAGTGACGGGTGCGCCATTTTTATATTTAAGACTAAAGTCAACCCTTAAAATGGTGAACTGAATTGTTCCGATGCATCATGGATTATTTTTTTCCAACATGATGCTATGTTAAAGAGAAAGGATGCTATGTTAAAGAGGAAGGATGCTATGTTAAAGATCAATTCATTCCTGAATCCTTGCAGCTCTAATACATTTATTTATTAAGCAGTTTAATTAGATTCATAATATAAATTATTAACTGTTTAGTTTCATCTAAATAATTATGATTAGGCCTACCGGTATAGATTAATACGATTTCATCACAAGTATTATGTTCTATATTAGCCTTACTCACTGATCAAATGACAAATAGTCAATCCATACAACATTGCTCAGCAAACCTGGTCCAGAAAACAGTGTAGGCCTAGTAAAAAAATGTGAAGACATACTGTCATTTATTGTTTACAAACTGATTTTGTAACATGCTGTAAAAATTACGTGATATAACTCCAAGGTCGCCACTAAAAGTACTTACAAAACTGGCAGATGGAACGAATATTGAAGTTGTATGTATCAGGTTTGTTCCCTCATATTTTCTGAAACTTCTTAACCAGCGTCCATCTCGACATGCCGCTAAATTCAGTTGAAATCGAAGCAAACTTCGATGTAGTCTGCTTCGAAGTGCGGCCATTACTCGGTACCGGCCAAATGCGAAGCTATGTGAAGGTCATTTGGGGTCAATGAAATTTTCGTATTAGGCATAAAAATGTTTCAATCTTATAATGAAGTAATACATATCAAACAAAATTGACACAAACTCCATTTTTTATACAAGACTGTGCTTTCCGAGCAAGTAGCAGCAAATAGAAACATTCGAATAAGTACAACGGTATAAGGGAGGCAACTCTCATTGTACAATGTACAAAATGAGACCACACATAATTTTTCACCTTTCACCACTGCTTTTAAAATCCTTTTCGTAACTTGATTTATATGGATAATACATAGTTGGGCCAGAGGTAAATTAACCGCGATTTAAATGACTCAAATAAGCAACGAATTTGAGACAAAGAGAATTTTCTAAGGATTTCAAATTAATGACCTACTCTGAATAAGTAGTAGCAGAACTAAAAATGTTAGAAAATAGATTTATCACTTTTAAAAGCCAACATTAAATAAGCATAGAGGTGTGGTTATGTCTGAATCTATTTACAGTTGAGATTAGCACAAAAGAATGCTGACCCTGTGAAACTTTGGCAGTTGACAGTCAATTCTATTTCTAAAAAGTTTTCTTGTGGAAGAACCATCTCAGACTCTCCTAGTAGTTCCCATGGAGCTACCACATTTTTAATCTGAACCTTAACAGTTGTTCTTTCATTAAGTTAGCCTGCTCCCTATATGTTCCTTTCGAGACTGGTGCTGCCACTGGAATTAGAGCTCTTGGAGATTTTTTCTATATATTTCATGAAATTAAAGCTGTTTTTACTATAAAGTGAATAAAAAGAAACAGATAAAATAATTTATTATTAACACATTATAATTACAAGTCAATTGCACATTAAAACACAATTAAAATCTGCCAATTTGGAATAAAGCAATTATGCAAATTAGATAGTAGAAATGTTAATACTGAAGGGAACACATTAAGAACCACAAGGGATCTTCCCTTTATGGACTAGTAGTTTAAGTATTTGGAATGTTGATTAGTTTACAATTTGACTACCAGTTGCAAGTGTATTCATTGAAAGAGTTCTTCACCATTGACTGTACGCATCGTATTATACTAATCATCGGCATGACACAGGGATAGGTTCCCAACATTTGTTTCAGTTGGGAAACCGAACTGATCATGGCTCTGTGAACTCTAAAGGAGTAAAAGCGGTTAATTCTCTAAACAGCTGGTCCCCATTAACTTTATCAAAGAATCTACGAGTCTGTTCCTGAAGTAATGACCTAATATGAACTGAGTATACCTATAATTTGGTACATTAGTGGCATAATGTATCCTTGCCAACTATGACTATACCTGAGAGTTATATAATAAAGAATAAAGATTTTGTTCACTCTTATAATACAAATATTATTATCACAATATAGCTTAAAAATCTACATAATATACATTTATCATGATTCACAGACACGATCTCAGGTCTTTACATGTTCCTTATGAATTGTTGCAAAATATGTCAATCTGTACCTAATGTAGGCTACGATATCTCTTTTGAATCATTATCATATAATAAGTATATCATTTTGGTTAAAGTGAATACAAGATTTAACAGCATATATTTGAAGTTTTAAATTTTTTCACTGAGAACAAGCTCAAATTTGGAAAATATCTAATTTATAAGTTGTTAAAAATACTGTAATTCTTGCTAAACAAAATATATTTCCTAAGAACCCTTTACAATTTCTCATGGTAAAGTTATTACCATTGGTAGGTGTAAACTTTGGATATGAAAACTGATAACAAATATTGATTTCGTTAACAGAGGCAGATTGCAAACATAAACAGAGCTCAGCAAACAAGCCAAATAATATCCAACGATGAATAATATTGGTAAAATGTCAAGACACAGAAGAATTGGACAATAGCACTGAGGTTTTCTTTCATTCTTTCTCCATTTATTCTTTAATAGATTCCTTAATTCATCCAATCAAGAATAAAATAATAAAATTTGTTCCCTTCACCGTCTCCTAAGAAATAAAAATAAATAATTGGTATATAACTTTAATACACGCAAGGTTCCCTCTAATACCAAAATAAAAGTTTATAAGCTAAGAACATGCATTGAAAACTTTGGCCTTATATCACCATTACTTTATTTTCATTACAGTTATAATATAAAGAATTTACAAACCAAAAGCCTCATAGAGTTTCAATATAAATAATAGCACTAATTCCTTGAAGGATAACCGGGAATGAATCATATTGGATTTCAACACTACATCAAATATAGGGAAAGTAAATCAAAACCAATGATACCTTTTTCTCTTGCAAACTAAAGCTATAATAAAATGTGCTACGAAAGGCCAAACAAATATAAAAGCTGCCGTTCTTTTGGAAAGATTACCAAAAGGCCACCATTGAGACTTTTTCTGAAGTTCTTTCCTTTCACGTTCCTGAAAATAAAGTACATAAAATTAAATTTGCAAATATTGGGAAAGATGATGTTTATTTGTTTATTTTGGGTAAGCATACATTATGATAACTTTTGACACTAATATATTTTCTCAGATCATGTGATCTCAAGAGAAGTAACCCTCAGAAAAGGATGGATTTTCATTAAATTTCCATAAACAGGGTACATTTAATATTAAATATTTTCATTATGTTAACCTGATTTTGTCTTTCTGTCATGGCCTCTAAATTGGTCAACCTGGATAAGACACCATTCATATCTTGTTGTAATCTCACCAAGGCTACAGCTATTTGTTCATTTAAATCACTATAGTTACGACCTCTTAGAACGTCATCACCATCTTCACCTGACCCCCCTGAATTAGTATTAAATAACCCACGTCTACTTCCAGAAACATTTCCGCTATTCCCTGAAGAAAAAATAATCAACCTGAATGAAAGAAATTTGATGTTTCTATTATTATACAACACAGTTATATTAAAGTGATAATAGTATGCACCAATATAATAGTTATTTTAAATATTAAAATCATAATTGTAACCAAGAGTTGGAAAATGAAGATAAATTTTGAAAATCACACTGATTATGAAAAATTTATATTCGAATGAAAATCATTGAAAAAGGATTACTACCTCTAATGAAAATTTTTCAAAAACCAAATTGAACAAATCGTAATGAAAAACCATATATGTTGTTGAACACTGGGAGAAAGGATTTAGCCTTAATTCCTTACCTCTACTGCCGACAGAATCATTGAAACTATCTGATGATACAGGGAACGACCCTTGACCTTTCTGAACATTTCCACCTCCCCTTGACATCACAGATTCACATTCTGATTGGTTTAAAATACTGTTGTCTGGATGATGAAGACTAACACCTAACTGACTATCTGTAGACAGGTTCAACGAGTCATTCGATGTTGCATTTACTAGTAGACTGTCTGAGAGCATTGCTTCTTTTTTAGTTTTAGCAGCAAAAGGCACGGAGTTTGACAATAGTCCAAGACGGAGATCACGATGCTGAGAGTTTCTTGAAGTTTGATTTGAATGAAGAACTGGCGTGTCAACAACATCACTGAATCTAACATGGTGTCCTGTTTTTGATATGGGAGTTGAAGTATTGAGCTGCATACTGATATCTCCATTCACTACTGGGTCCTAAAATTATAATTATACTACATAAACATGACATTGTTAACTCTATGGTTTTAATTTGCCGAATTCAACACAAAAATCATTTTAAAACCGGGGTGGTTTTCACCTTTTCAACCCCACTGGCCTACCAGCCACATCGTTACGCAATATACCGAGCAACAGGTAATACGGTTGTTACTTAGTGACAGAACATAATGTTCAGGGTATAAAATTATTTTATTTCTTTTACACTCAGTGTTCAAAGGATTAAGGTCAAACACTTGTATGTTCCAGAGTGGCAAAGATGTCTCAATACAGTGCAGAGCCAAGATTTGTTGTGCTGTAATGTCTATCGAGAGTTTTTACCAGGGGTGCCATTTTGTCTCATAGGCTCTTAAAGTATTCTCCAAAAAATATACACGGTAATCGAAATTTTACCTGAATTGGTTCATCTGATGTATCACAGAATTCATCTGATTCACTACCACTTTCTTCCACTCCATTCATTCCTCCATTCACATGTATTTCTTCTCTCTTACAATCTACAGAGAAAAAAAATCTTGTTTGATTCCAATGGCACGCTTACATTTAGCTGTTGTTTAAAGATTATGATTTAAATAAACAATAAATTTAATTTGAACAGAATAACTTTCAATTTGGTGAAATCAATATCACTAACTTATGTTTAATAAAAACTATTATCAATATCATTCAAAGACTTATTTTGTGTCAGTTAAAAGGCAAGCTGTCCTGTACAAGATGAAGATTAATAACACACCTGAACTAAATTGAATTTATACAGAGTGAAGGTTACTGTGTTGCATTCAAAATTTTATTATTGTAGTACCACAAGCCCGACTTTTAAGCAACCCACTCTTAAAGGGACAGATGCGCCATATTTTTGACCAATCATACTTTAGTCATTTACTTTTTTTAGATAAGCCAATCAGTAATATATACTGACAACTTATGCTCTAACTTACTTATATTAGGACGCTGATTATCAAAAGAAACTTTACTATGAGTTGTCTGATATTCTGAGACTGTGATATGTTTCTGGTTACCATTTATAAACTCTGACTTCCTCATTATTTCTTCTACGGCAGTCGAATGGTTAAAATCTGGATCTAATTCTGCGTCTGATCGAGAAAATATTTACATTTTTTTTATAAAAACAAATTCTTAAAAACAAAGTACAAGCCTTTTTTTAACAAAAGAAAAAAAAAAAAGAAATAAACAGAGTCATACTTCCATGCAAAGCCATGCAGTGTGTAATTTGGAAAATTTTGCCAGGACAGCTGGACTAGCCAACAATTTCTTGATTTCCAACCTTTGAGGGATCTTTAACATGCACAGCCTGAAGTGAAGTAGCCAGGGTTTTTTTGTCCTATCCGAACAACTTTTTCCATGTCAGCACTTTCAACCGGTATCTCTGACAAAAGGGAACCAGGTTGAAAATCTGAATATAATTCATACAGAGATCTCATTTACTAATCATATTAGTACAGAGGTGTCAACACTGCTCTCAAATTCCAAAATGTCAAAATATTATGAAAAACATCAAACAATAAATGATATTCATCTGAAAAAGGTTTTCCCATACCTTGATTCCATGACACATTAGATTCAGTTTCTATTTCTTGTTCTTCACCCTCACTATCCTGGCCATCATGTTGTATATCACCATTACCTAATTTCTTCATGGAAGATGACCGTACTTCATCTTTCTCATCCACCACTTCATAGAAAAATCCTAATTTATCCAGAAAATGTCCAACTTCTTTCGTTTGGGGCATGGCTTCTATAATCTGAAATAAAAACAATATATTTACAATTTCTACAATCTAAATTTTTTTGTTAAGCTGTCTCTGTCTTCTATTCTGTTCATAAAAAAAATTCATTTATGCATAGTTTTTGAACAGTTTAAATACTGACAAGGTAACCCCACAATGACAAGGCATGTCATGCCATCACTCATGTATCACAAAGAATGGAATAATACTGAATTAATCTTTAATAATAAAAGATAATATTGGTTATGACTGACTCACACTTTTTAACTCATCAACATAACTCAGCATGGCCTCTTCTTTAGGCATATCTCCCAACTTGTTCCAAGCTTCCCTGCAATTTAAAATGATTTGGTGATAGAACATTTTCATATGCTGCTGCACACTTATAGAATTCCCTCAACTTATCCATTAGATCATCTTCAAATATAAAGTTTGGTCTTTACGATTAGACTTACTGTGAATAAAGCTTGTGAAAGACATGTGTCAGCGCTTTGAGCACTCTCCATGTAGAGTGGATTTCAGCGCTTTATAAATACAATTATTATTATTATTATTATTATCATTATTATTAATCAAATATGGAAATTATTTCAAGAACATAGCACATCTTTACAAAATTGTCAAGAAAAATGATTATCAACAAAGTAAGACATCTTATATTTTTAGGGAGCTCATCTGAGTACAAAATACATTCATGGTACAGTCTTGTTTAAAGAATGTCTAATTTTGAAAACTTCTTACACATTGTAGCTCAGTTGGTTAAAGTGTTAAAAATTGTTGTCAAATGCTTGGTTATCAGTTCAAAAAATCAATCTGTTGACTTTAATAAAGCATATTTCCTTATTAATTGTTTGAATGATATCGATTTAATATCTGTGTATTGTGACTATGATATTATTATTATATTGTACTAAAATTAAAAAGAACATGGACAACAATTATTACCATTTTGCTTTGTTCACCACATCCCAGAATCCAGGTTTACTCTGTGTACAGGGTCCTTCAGTTGACTGTTTATAAAAACCATAAAATTTCAACATCAATTCATGAGACGGTTGAAATGTGCCTGAATCAAAAAAAAAAATGATCTTTAAATCTTATTATTCAATTTGGCAATTATCAGATCTGGCAGAATATAGCCCAACCCTATCAAGAAAGGTTCATATGCCTACATTGCCAAGATATCTCTGCCGTTATTGTGTGTTAAATGCTACAAATGGGAGTACGATAAAAAAATAAATAGCTTGACATGAGACTATGAGGATCACAGAAATGTCTGGGAAAGGGAATGTTTGTCAAGTTATTAAATTTTCTATTTTATTGACCCAAAGACATAAAACTCTTAGACAAATGAAATGATTATAAGTATGCAGTTCAAAATTCTACTTTGAATAAGCTCATGTAGGAGAAGGGTTAATTTAGTCCATAATAAATGACGTTGTTACTGTAAAATGTGGTTCAAAGGTTATATCTCATTACTATCGGTCACAAAATAGATAATAATAACAAATTGGGGACCAAAACAAATCCAAATGATATCCACATTTTGACAATTTCTGTTCAGAAAATATAACAATGTTTGACCGACATTTTAAGCGTCTCTGACGAAAGTATAAAAATATTTTCACCATTCTTGGGCAATCCACGGATCACTTTTACAGCAGCATCGAATTTTGTTTTAGCAGTTGTATCCGCCATGATGGTACAGTAATGTAATCCTTGTTATCCAGTCGTTCAAGAAACTTTCTTTTTTAAATACAGTTACTTCCCTTCAACCGTTACGAGTAAAATCTGCACTAAAAATCAATAAACGAACGTGACTTCATTCAATGGAGTTGCTCCCCTTCCATCATATATATATTTACATTCAATTACAAATAGGTTCTTTAAATGGAAATAATTATAGAAATGTTTTAATCAATAAGATCTATTGGCTTAGATAAGAGCCAAATTGCAGTTGCACTTTAGTCTTGGGGAGAATTAGGTTATTATTCTTTTAATTCTAGTACTCAACTTAAGGCCACAAGAATCTAAAATATGTTAGCCTTCCTTCTTGATTTTCTAAATGTGTAGGCCAAGACAAGTGTACACTTCCAAGGTTTTGTAGCCCATGACCCTTTTAAGGGATTGAGGTGGATTTTTATTAGCCACTATAAAAAGTGTTCTGACCACTGCTTATAAAATCTCCCATCTTGCCCCAAGTTAACCAGACAGTGGTCACTTGGTCTTGATATGTAATGTGGCTTAGATCCCAAATTTAAAAAGATTAGGCTCAATATGCTTCCCATGTATACACCGTTATCTTGAGTCACAAATACAATTTTTGACTACCAACTGCCAGATTTCACTGCGTAAGGTAGGCTTGGTAAAATTTTGATCTACATAATTACAATGATTAGAAAATTTGTGACTCTTATTATGCCTCAGATATCTGTGGATTCATGAAATATTTGTATGTATACAGTACTTGAAACTACATACAAAATTTTCTGCATAAATAGCTCCTTGAGAAATCAACTTTTACATTGATGAACCTGAGCGTAGAATCTAAAAGATCTAATTTTGTCCTCTAATTTGTGCCCATCATCATCAAGACATCTAAAATATGGCTCATTTCACCTCAGCGTTGTTAATAATTATTTTCAATCAAATAGAAACAAAGACACAAAATATGATGTATTATATAGTTTATTTAACAGAGAATTGAGTATTTCATACATTCTAATAATGTAATAGCATTGAGGCTAACCATTGGTTGTTAACATCACATGACCATATTATTATTGCCATATATGGTCAATATGTCTAAATAAGGCCATCTACTGTCTATAGTATAAGATGAATTAAAACATTGAAGAAGATTTACAAGGAATATACTACAGGAATCATAATATACATACATTTTCTCTAAATAATATCTATTATGCTATATATAGGAGTATTACAAATTTAATTGAAATTTCTTAACATTCAAAAAATTATAAACTAACATAGAAATTGGCGCCCAAAATGTGGGATATTTGATTAATCAAATTTCAAATTTGGTCCAAAATTTCAAGAAAAATTACCTAAATTTACACAATTTTTAAATATACATAAAGTCTAAATAAATGCTAAATATAATATACTCTATTTTAAATAAATTTCTTTATAATTATGAATTACAATTAAAAGATATACATTTTATCCCAGATGATTCAATTTTATATTCTATTCCATACAGTTAACTAAACATTATATTCAGACCCTAAAATACTAAGACACAGATTCTAAAATGAGACAATAATCCTCCCAGAATTCTCTCAAATCCTGATAAAACTTTACCAATGGATTTAAAAATCAATTTTCAAAATCAACAAAACTTTAACAAAAGGAATTCAAAGTTTAAAAAAAAAAGGAATAAAAACAGAACAAGTAGCATAGAACACATTTTATCATAAAATCTGCAAAAAAAAAAATTATTCAATTACTTTAAAGTTAAAAAAAAATTAAAAAGAAATTAATAATTGTGGAGTATTTTATTTTCAAAGGAAGTGTTTGAAATCAACAAAATCAGCAAATCAAATTCAACAGTGTCAGTAATTGGGTAACAAATTTAATTTTCTTCTGAATTTTGGAATGTCAGTATTTAACAATCAATGGAGGCACTAAGTATTTTGGTATTTTTCTAGATTTTCTTACAATTAATTTATTCAGGAAAAATCAAATTTTTTTTAAATGCACATGTAACACTTTTGAAAAGCAGATATTCATACCTTAGTACCTCCTCAGTAACAAGTAGGAAATGTGTATAGTTTTTAATCTTAACAAGTGAAAGGATGAATTAAAATGAATGAATGAAATGTTAAAATCATATAGAAATATCTGAGATAATGTAAGATGAAACAATCAATTTCAAAATATATACACAAAATAAAAGGGTTTCCATGTTATAACATTTTAACTAGGACTATCTTGAAAGTTCAATTTGAGTTTTTTGACTAGATAACTCATCCAACAACCACCTGGGTGATTGTTTATTGCAAGTGTAAATTGTAGAATGCAGCATTTAACACTTTTTCAAAACCCCTACATTTCAAGGATAATTTATAAATGTCAAATTCAGCAATTCTTAGCAATTCAAATCAGCAAGTTACAAAATAGAATAATATAAAGCAAATATATATATAAATATAAATTAAAATAAAGACTAGAATTGGTTTTTTGACAGTAATGATATAGGTGTATATAGGCATTTTGAACATTTATTGCATTTAAAATAAGCAGTCCCATTATGTAATGTAAACATTGAAATTGGCACCAATAGAGGGGAAGGTATGGTTTAATATCAATACAGCTGAATATATTTGACTATATAATAATAGCGCTGGTACATTCAGTAAAACTGATCAGTGGCACACATTTTCAAATAAAATATTTGTTAAACATAGTTTAAAAAGTAAAGCAAAGGTTAAAAGTTAAATCACTGATTAAAACGCCTCAATACAAAAGTATATTTTTAGATTCTTTTAGAAGATTGAAATGAAGCAATATATATTATGCAATATTCACTATGGTATATCATTATTATGCTGTACAAATTGAGTATTATTGGTACTTTGAAATACATTGAAACACTGAACATAGCTAAATCCATTAAATATTTGCACAGGGACCTTTATCTTGAAAACTTTCAGTAATTTTTAATTTATCAAAAATATAAATTGATCAATAACTAAATTTAATATCAGATGAGAGAATAATTTGCTTCAACAGAAACTATTATTCATTTAGATTTCTCATATTTTCTAAAATTTTGTTATCATTTCTTTTCAGTTTTCAAGAATAAAATCTCTTTTTGCATCCAATCTGCGTTTAAATGGATTAAAACTACATAAAACTGGCACGGGACTAAAAATAACTAATGAAATATTAGAGATTCATAAAACAGAGTTGGTCAAAGTTGGAATAAGAAGATGAGTTTTGAATTCAATACAAAAACAATACAAAAAATTGGCACAAATAGAATTCAAAAGAAGTCTATCAGCACTTTTAAAAACATTTGATTTGAAACAATAATGGGTTTTGATTATAATTATCATAATACTTTAGTTATATTTGGAAAATGTGGATTGAGAAATACTGAGGTTACAAAAGGATTGAAAGATATTCACGCATTAACACTTTAAATAAAATTTTGATATTATGCTCTGAATTTTGTTGAAATTTCAAAATTAAAGTTAAATATATTGTTCAGTAGATTTTTAAGTAGATTTTTAATGAAAGTTTAAGCAATGGTTTTAAATAATCATACACACTAGCACACATTTCTACTCTCATACTTTCCAATCATACATCATACTCCACCATCATACATTACTACAACATTTAATATCAACTATTTACAGCAATAATAATATCATTTTGGCATCCTGGGAATATAAAACATATTTATATTATAGAGAACTGAACATCATTTGGTATTTAAAGCACTATTAAGAAATAATAATTTATAATACTGTCAAAAGCATTTATTTGATTATTTTAGAAGATTATTTGGCAACTAGGAAATACTGTAAGAAGGCAATAAATGCTGATACTAAGCATTATAACTAAATAAAACCCTGGTTTAATTCTAAAGCATGTATATTGTTTGGCAACTTGGAATAATGAAAGGAGGAAATAATTGTACTTATTTGTGTTTAATATGAATAGCCTACAACAGGCAAATATCAAAATACAAAGATTTGGGCAACAATTATTGGCAAAATTAAGGTAATATTGTTAAGAAAACTGGTAAAATTAACATCTTAGAAAATGATTTTGATTTTGTTATCTGTAACTTTGATCAAAGCCTAACCCACGACTAGTATACATGGCATAATATGACTATTTACAAAATTAATTAAAATATTTTTATGTACAAATTTGGCAAACTTTGGAATAATACTGTTTTCATTAGAACTATGAAAATTACATAAAAAAAAAACAAAGACAAAAACATTTGGCACATTTCAAGATTTGGCAACATTGGTTTTCACTGAATCCAAGATAAATCACTGGATTGAAAAATAAAATAAATAACAAATAAAGTTATATTTTTTAACTAAAATTTTGATATTTTTTTTAAATCTTTATATCTTGGAAGAAAGGATTCGGATAGTTCTTTACAAACTACATATTCATGTTTAGGACCTAAAAATAATATTTTCTTGAATTTCTGAATTATAATCATCTCTCAATGAATTTTGAATATTAATTGGTATGAAAGGTCACAGGGTCAATATTATTTACATATCACTATAATTAATTCTATTTCAATCTATTTCTAATACATCACAAGATGGAAGACTTGGATTTTGTATTATTGTGTTACCATGGAAATTTCATGGATTTGAATTTTTTTGGTTATTTTGATTTTTAATATTTTGATTTTAAGCTACAAAATTGGAAGACAAGACAACACACAACATAAAATTCTATATTACAGTTTTTGATTTATGCTCTCGATAAAATAATACTGAGTATTATATAGGTACACACCATCACACATTTATAAGAATTCACACTCACACATCACACACATTCAAATCAACACTCACTAAAAATCTTTGGAAGACAAGCGAAATTAAATGCCCTTAGCAAGGGGAGATAACCTCCAATAATACTGTCCGGTAAAGACGTCAAAAGATTATATTTGGCACAATATGAATTTTCACACACTTTTCACACTATCACACTCTCACAAGTTTGGCACACAAAAATATTTGGCAATTATGCGGTGAAGGAAGACAAACTGGTATAAAATCAGTTTGATTTTAGAAGATTAAATATATTTTGATTTTAAATATAATGATTTGATTTATGCTACTGGAGTATTCTTTTTTATTGAAATATACTAATAATACTGACATATTTGGCACATTAATAAATAAATATTTGGCAAAGGCAGTTAGGTTACATTTAAAAAATAATACTAATAAATTATGCTTGTTTGGCACATTGAGAGTCAATGAATATTTGGCAAGTGCGGAGATGACTAGAGATAAAACTTTGGCATAGTTTTTCAAAAGAGAATTTGGCACATGAAAAAAGGGTGAAATTGAAACATTATCCAACTTTAACCAACTCTGTATAGCTCTGTAATGAATGGTGTGATATATAAATGAACATGCTGTGAATTGAAGCCACATTTTAAACTTAACAAAACAATTATAACTATCAATGAAATGTTGTATAAGTATTGGAAGCCATTTTTGGAATTATATTATGCAAATTATGCGCATAATTAATACTGCTTGTATAACAATTGGAAGAGATGAATATAATAATACTATGTGAGAGTTATATTTACATTGTGTCTGTCTAAGTCAAAATGAAGAAATTAAACAAATACATGTTTCACTAATACTCTTTAACCTTGTCCATGTAATTTAACATCATATGTTGATATAAATATACTCTCGATTCTCTTACAACCCCCAATTCATTTAGACTAAGACAAACTACCTAGACTACACAAAACAACAACAATATAATACGATACAATACATAAAATTCTTTGGAACAATAAAATTGTGGTCCCATGTTCCATTTTCAATAGATTCATGCTAATATTTACAAATAAGATTTAAGAAAATTAAAATAAAGAATAAATGAGCACTTTAAAATGAATGTCTTAATATCATTAATGAAATAATAAAACAAATGATGATATTTTGATTGCATATACACTCTTTTGATTTCTTCAATGACTAACATAATAATAATGGAATATATTTTAATATTGAGACACAGTTATCTCTCTTTGTTAGAGTTTCCTCCCTTAAATCACAATGTTAACAGGAATTCAATGATCATGCTATAGAAAACTATTTTAAAAGTCAATGTTTTCCTTTTCTTTATGAAGAGTTACTCCCCTTTTACTTACTCGCCACTTTGAGTTATCTTCCCTGTTTAGTCCAGATCACTATCTGTTGGTTTACAATATTTGTATCTATGGTTCATATGTTGACTGTAGGATCCAGAGTGGCTGAATCTTTTGTTACATTTCTTACATCTGAATGGTTTCTCACCACTGTGGAGGCGTTTATGTTCTGTTAGATGATGTTTATGTTTGAAGGATTTTGGACAGACGTCACATGTGAAGGGTCGTGCACCTGCAAAAGGCAAAAATACTTGTTTGTCAAGCAGTCAATATCAATATGAAATGCCTCAGTGCAATGGAGAGCTGAATGGCCATGTGTCGTGTTGATTGGCTCCTGCCAGTTTAGATGCCAATCTTAGGAATGAAAAATTCCATGATGTAACAGCCAGTGCAGTTTTCTCAATCTGATAATGATCCCAATACTTTTTGTCTGAAGAAAACGTTGACTTACCAGAATGTTCATATTTATGGCGAGCAAGAGAACTTTGTTTACTGAATAATTTATCACACTGGTCACAAGCATACATCCCAACTTCAAGATCAACTCGATGATTCTTCCAGGATTTTCGCTTCTTTTTCATTGGTTCATCGTCATCTTGGCTTAATGAGTCGTCCATTTCAGTTGCAATCTCTTCAGCTTCAACCTGCTCAAAAGAAAAATAGCATGCTTCATGGTTACAATCTAGTTATTGGAATTAGCGATTTGCAGATTTTAAGTGATTCTCAATTACTTGTTGGTTTGAAATTTGCAAGAAAAGTATTCTCTACTTTGAATTTCTATTTTATAAATATTAATTATAACATAAGGAAACACTGTGGCAGTGCCAGTGCCAATTGAAAGGTGACTTATTACCTTTAATCACTCTACCCAGGAAAAGTCATGATGTCAAGTATTGTGGCATTTTGAAAAAAGTAGTTAAAAAGCTATCAAAGAAAATTCAAATAGTGGGAACATAAGTATAAAATATAAACCAACCTGTCTCCATGACTTCTTGCGTTGTCGTTTGTTCTTATTAGCTTCATCACCATATTCACCTCCCATAGCTGCCAAGGAAACTGTTGCCAAGGTATCAAGGTTCTGGCGTCCTTCAATAGAATCGTAATGGATTCGGTTGTTAAGGTGATCCTCCATTTCCTTGTGGTCAGATCTTGTTTCATCAATTACCAAGCGGTCATCTTCATCAGGTTGGTTTCCAGAAGAATCTAAAGCCTCAGTTTTGATTGTTTGAGGAGGGCTACTGGTTCTTGAATGTGGTGATCTGATTTGATGAGATGGACTACTGGTTCTGGAGTGAGAAGATGGGGATGATGATTTAGTGGAGTTGAGCGAGGAACTGGAATGCGAAAGCCATGATCTTGAAATATCAAGTGGAGTTGGTTGGTGACGGAATAGTCCTTCTTGTTGCATGTACTTGAATATAGCTGATCCTTGAATGCTTCCTTCTATCTTAGATGGTTCTTCCTTGATGGCCGTCTTGCAGCTTAAATTGAGAACTTGGTCATCAAATTGTTTGTTAGATAAAGCAGGTGAAGAACTTCCACTGTGAGCAGCTGGTGGACATTTTTTGATACTGAGATCTAAAGGTTCATCTTGACTCTTTGATTCTGCAATAGTGGTGATGGGTTTTGAGATGGAGTAGTTGAGCTTTGAGACAGGGGTACTGGTGACACTTGGAGAGAAATTTGCAAATGGTTGAGGCACCACAGGGATGTAGCCTAAAGATGTAGAGGTTGTGGTTGGTACATCTTCAGTATGTTTGAAACGAGCCATGTTGGGGAAGTATGGAACATCTTTTCCTCGGCGACGATCTCTTGCACGCATATTCTGGAACCAAACTTGAGCAACACGCTTTGAGAATCCAATTTCATTAGCTATTTTGACTAATTCCACCTTTCCAGGTCTAGGGTTGATTTGATAATAACCTTTTAAGATTGCTAATTGTTCATCACTGATCAAGGATCTCATTCTATATTTCTTGGTTTCGCTACCATGGTGATCATCATCATCAGCCTCATTATCATCTTCACTTCCTGTTTCTACAAAACTTCCATTGGATGTTGCTCTGAAACTATGCTCTGATGTAATGCTGTTGGGAGAATGTCTTGGTCCTTCTGATGTAGAGATGCGTAAAGTGATATCCTTATTTGATTTGCATAGATAACGCTCGTGTTGATGCAACTCAACTGGACTTTTGAAGCAAGTGTGACAGAATCGGCAGGTCAAATCAGCAATGGTCAATGGCTTTCCATCTTCTCCAATAATTTGTGTTTCAGCCATTTTGGCACATTTGGATGACTCATGTGGAGAATTGGCTTCAGCACCACGAGAAGCATCATCGGCATCATCTTTGACCTTGACCTCAGCATCCTCATCTGATTTCTTTTCCTCTTTGATATCCTGAAGCTTGGTGTTGCAATTAACATCAGGAGAGATCTGAGACATTCTGGAACTAGGTGACATGTTTCTTGGAGGAGCACTCAAAGCTTTAGCTAATACAGAGGTAGAGTATGGATTATGGGAGTAGAGACCATATGTCATGATAGAAGTGGTTGGGATATGAGCTGTTGGAATTCTGGTGGTCATGGGAGGCGAGTAGTAGGCAGGTAATGCTGAACGAGGATCATACTTCATAATCTGGGTGAAATTTGGGGGTTGAGTGATCGGAATTGAGTTATTCATGGTAGTTGGTGATCTGTAGTACATACTATTCTCATTGTTACCATTTCTGTCTACACGACGTCCCTTCATGTTGATGGCCCAACATTTCTTAGAGGTCATGTGACTGCTGTATGATCCAGAGTGGCTGAATCGTTTAGCACAGTTTGGACATTCGAAAGGCTTCTCTCCACTGTGAATACGGATATGCTCTTTAAGATGATGTTTGAACTTAAATGCTTTGGAGCATTCTGGACATTTAAATTTACGTAAATCGTTACTCTCATCATGGCTGATCATGTGACGTTGCAGGCGATAAACATTGGCGAAAGTTTTGTTGCAGGTTTTACACATTTGAGACGTAGGAGAATGGAGTAACAAATGTTTATCAAGGACTGATTTGGCTGGAAATGCTTCATTACATTTTGGACATTGGAATTTGATTGGTTCCTCGGGATGCTTAGTTTGGAAATGTTCTTGAAGTAGGGTTGGTTTGGTGAAGGATTCTGTACAGTAGATGCATTTTAGCTCATAGTCTTCTGTTACTGAATCTGAAAGTCATAATTTTGATAAGTTAGGAAACATAAAGAGGTGTGTCCTTATCCACCCTTGTTGTATTTAAAGAATGCTGAATCAGGTGTGCATTTATCATCTCCTGCCTAGAGTGATGTCCTAAAATAATGGAGTCAGATATAGTATATCAAAATATTGTCATTTTGGAGTATTAAAAGTATATAATTCCCAAAGGATCTCATTACCTGTTTCTTTATTCTCATCATCCTGGTCACTGACTGGTTCAGGGTAAATAATGGCTGTATCACTTCGACCTAGAAACTCCTTGATAGTCTCTTCAGAATCTCCCAGACATCCAGGTACTTTAGGCGATAAATTTTCTGAAAAAGAAAAAGAAATTTTTTAATACACTGAAAATATCTCTGCAGATTAAGTTACATTATAACTTTAATGTTCACCTCAGTACTTATTCATTGATGGAGACTGGTAATTGCAATTTTCACAGAGAATTGAAATCTATTGATATACATACCTTTTTGGTGCATCAAATCTTCTTTAATCTCTGCTTTGGTTTGTTCTGTGATTTCTGGTTTTTGGTTGTCATGGTTACTTTCTTTGTTGTCATGGAGACTATTTATAGCCTGTTTTTGACGGGAGATAACTGCTGCAATTTTATCAACTGAAGATGGGGATTCTGTTGTTTCATTTTCAACTGAAAAGATACGAAAATTGTCGGGTTAAATAAATTGTCAAAAGTCTGGAGGCTTCATCACTGAAAATAATGCTCCATCTATTTGAAAATTTGATGCACTAATAAGTTTTACCTCAGCATCATTGACATTTTAAATACAATACAGACTGACTTTAATTATCAACCCTCCAGAATACTTGCAGAAACAATTCTTTGTAACATAGCTCATTAAAATAACCCTTAAAAGATGAAAATTGCCTCCTTTCAATAAGAATGTGCCCCTTTATCAAAATCCGTCATCTTTCACCTCAACAAAAACCACCTGATTTTCCTGTGAAAATCATTAATGATCATCTTAATAATAACTTTAAAATAATTAATAATTTGATAAATCACCAAAAATCATTTTCACCTAAAAGACAAGTGGGTTTTTAAAACATTGAGGGGCTAGTCACCCTCGCTTAGAACCCATCATTATCACTATTTCATTATCCCTGAACAAATATTGAGAAGAATAGAAACATCAATGATAATAACAGGATTGGGCCTATTAGAAAAACCTGTCTTTTCATTCCACCTTTTGTTGGTTTATCTCACACAATAGGTGGAAAAAGTTCACGATTTTTTGTGAATGTTTCGAGAGTTTTTGACAACAATTAGGAGGTCGTTATGATTGATAATTGATATACTTTGTATCACTTTAAGTGTGTATTGTTTGAAATTCGGCACACGCTCTGGAGTCGTTCACATGCGCCAGATTGACAGATTTTTACCTCCCGTTTAACTGATAAAAGAAACAGTTACAATGATAAAAGTGTGTAAAGAAGCCAACATAAGGCTGAAAGTTGATCACTTCAAATTTCTCAAGGAGATGCAAAATGTCGCGAAAATGAAACATTTGTTAGGAAAATAACTACTTCAGCTTGCTATTCATACAAATTGTTAGTTTGAAAGATAAAATTATTATTAACATTTGGTTGATTTACATTAGAAATAAAGATTACAATTACCTTATTCTGTACAGAATATTTCAAGAGGTTTCTACAGACAATCTGAAGATAAAATCTGTATCATTAAATTTAGTCTGAAATTATTACAGATACTTGACTTGACAATTTCTTCTCCCTTTAACCTTTGGTGTATTTAATTTAATAAAACTATATCAATGAGTAAATCGATCTTTATAAGTTTTATTTTTAAGTATTAAGCTATAATTATATTATTTTGAGTACTGGTATGTATATTTTTAATTGTGTATTCCAATGTGTAAGCTTATATATGATAAATATAACATGGGGCCATTTTAACTGAAATATTTTGAAATTCTCCTAGCTAGAATAAGACATGTTAAGTACATTAACTTCAAAACCACCTTTGATGGTTGTCCCAATGAATGGTATCTTTGTATGAAAATCTTTGTATGTAGAAAATTATTTATAAATAAAATAGAATAAATAATCAAAATTCAGGAAAGTAGGTAATTAATGTCAAAGTGACACTAGTATTTAAATTAATAGGCGGAATCGAAAAATAAAACGTCCTTCTTCTAACAGGAAACACCAGGTACAAGGTATGATGGGCCATTTCCTGAAGTGAACATGTGAGACGTGATGATAAATTTTACCTCTCAATAAACTACAAGTATATTTTCATAAACTCCTAGATATAGTTCAATTACTTAATTAATGAATTTAAAAACTTAATGTTAAAAACAAGGATCGACTGACAGGTCTGAATATCACACAAATGTAATATTGTTTCAGATAACAGGGATATAAGTTTTGGTTAACAACTTATCGAATATAATTTGATACCAGTATTCAGTAATAATACAGAAGAACCATTTTAAAAAGCTATACTATCAGAAGCCAATCCCACATCTTAACACATTTCAAAATCGTGAATATTTAATAGAAGGTAACATTTTTTGTCCCCTTTAATATGAATTGTTTTCTGCACTGTGTTCTATTAAATGTTTAGTTTGATGAGTGTGTGTGGGTTTTCTCCAGTGATAAGACCTATTAGAATATTATGTAATATACTATCATTAAGTACAAAGTTCAATTCATTGTAACATTTTCCCCTAGTGATATTAATTCAATAAATAACAAAATCCAAGAGATCTCTCAGACAAATAACTCATTTTGTTATGTCCACAAAATGAAAAAATAGAATATCATTTAAAAAATAATAAATTTTCTCCCAACCAAAAAAACCCAAAAAGTACAAAATCCAAGATATAAACAATTTTTTATTGCCTTTTTCATTCTGGTAATTCAGTAACACAATTTGTACTTTGCACTCTTAAGAAGTCATTAATGTGTCAATAGTAAGATATTTAGAAGAATTGGCAGGTAAATGAGATATTAATAATACCTGAATATACCTGGTTACTATAGCAACATGGCAGGTACCCCAAAACACTTGTACTTATTTACCTAGTAGATATTACAACTGATAAAAACAATACTGATGGTTTATATCAAATACAGGTGCTTTTCTTCAAATTCTCAAATTCATGTGGTTTTCTTCAGAATTCAACCTTTCAGTTCTCAAGTTAATCATAGTTACAATCAATTACAACAATAAGGATGAAACAAAGCCTTGCAATTTGGTTAAATTAACTCAATATCTCCTATACAGGTTGTTTTTTTTCTTGAAAACAATTTTCAACTTCTTAATTTATTTTCTTAAATATGTAAGATGTATTAGATAGTACCACATATCTTCACCTTATTTAAATGATAAGAAAAGGGAGGACATGATATCAAACAAATACACAAACTTCTTACAAATATCACTTTTATATTTATATTCCTGGTACTAAAGATTGATCTTCAGGAATAAACAGACAGTAAAAAATAATAAACTTTCATTAATATTCAGGATTCTTTGACTATTTTTTATTTCCTTTTTAATTTCCTGTCCTTACTTGATTTCTAGTTCAATTACTAGTACTAACTACTTGGTATAAATACTCAATAAATATAGTGTCTATCAATGGCTGCCTTTAAACCTACTTTTAATTTACTTTTAACAACCAACAACATTTCTACAATAAGCTCTATAGCATAACCATTGCTGCTAAAGTGAAATGAAAATATAACTAAAATAAATAAAAGCACAGACCTAGGTCAGAAAATTGGTTGAGCTTTAACATCAGTTTTTTTTATTAGTACTAAAAACAATTCATTCATGATCATTATACAACTGTTTTACATCAGTTATAATAAATAAGGTAGTTGCTATATCTGTAAGGTTGTTAGTATAATACAGTACTGTAGTCAATATTAGGAGATAATAAATCTTAGTTACTATTGATTTTTATTATCAACTCTTAGCCATTTTGTAAGAAACCTCTGAATTATTGATATTTAGTGAAAGATGTATTTCAAAAAGAACTGATGTGGAAGACCTATGTTTTACCATTCAACAAAAAAAGATGTCAAGGAACAAATTCTGAAAGACCAACCCACAGTGTGCCAACAACGGGACAAAAGGAGAAGAAAGAGAAGCATGCTGGCATAACCCTCAATGGCATATAAGCTTATTGTATCATTGAACTCAATTAGGTTTGAAAGTTATAAAAAAAAATACACAAGGAAATTTTCTAACCAGGGTGATTGACAAAGCCAAAATGCAGGAATTTTCTAACAAATGAAAAACAAATATGGCATTAAATTGTCAACACCAGAATCTGATGTTTTTGAGGATTTTGACAAATATTAGCTTCATAATGTTTCATTGAAAACACACACCATTTTCTCACGAAAATATTTTGATTTTTGAAAACAGGTGTATAGGCATCAAATGTCAAGCAGATACCATCAAATCTTGGTTGTTATGGAAACAAGACATAAAGAGACATTGGTACCAGCAATAACATGTGATGTTATTGGCTGATAAGAATCAAACTGACAGACCTGTCCAATGAAATTATTTGTTTTATGACTGGAAGGAATCCAGTACAAAATTTATCAACTTTTTATTTTATCAATTTGGCTTTAAGGTTTGAGGATATTAGGTTTAATATAGTGGTACACGCCCTCAACTTGTTGTAAATGAACCAATAATCAATCTGATACAACACAGAAAAAGTGATGATGTTTTGGCGCTAAATTTAGATACCTTTGATAAAAGTGTGTTGTTTTTGATAAAGTTGAAAATGTCAGAACCATGACTTTTAAAATGTTTCACCTCATAAATCTCAAATTAACTGTTAACTAATTCTTTGATGAAATTTATTTTTATTTTCAATAGACATCAAAGAAAGGTTGCTGTATGGGTGGTTAAATGGTTAAATAAAACCAGGTGAAAACATCTGAGATCAGATCAAAAATTAACATCAGGATAAACAGACTTGATCAGCTTTTTGTCTTATTATCAATGCAAAAATTCTATAATGTTAAATTCTAAATACCACATAATATATATAATAATTTTATACACTTGCAATTTACATCTCTCTACAAATGATATATTAAACACATTTTGACAGTAAAAATATTTTCTTATTGTACAATTACAATCATAAATTTTTCATAAAAAAAAAGCCACAAATTACAACAAATTTTTCGTTTTTCAATATTTTCAATTTTCATGGAATTTAGTGATTATTGTTTGCCCTATAATGACAACTTCTGTTCACCAGGTATCTATTTCATGTAAATCACTTTTTAATTAATCATGTTTACACCTGACCACCATATGAACAGTCAAAATGGTGGTTTTTATTCATGAGTTGGAAATTATTCAGATAATTCATTGATAGAAATCAAGCATGACAGGTGTTGTGTATTGTATTGTTGTTTAATGATGAAGCAAGGTATTAACATAACTAATACAACATTGACTGGTGGTTACCTTTTTATAATTTATCTCTTATGATTCACTCAAACAGTGGTGAAACAGTGGTTAACCTTCCCTATTAACAATTATCATTTTACTCATTTCTGCTTTTAAGACACTTAAGTGATCTGTTTTTGTTTTTCTGTCAATTAGCAGAACCCATGATTATTGTTTGGACAATTTATAGCCTTAGTTCAGGTGATTGAATGAAGTGTGCAATGTGGTTTCTCAAAATAATTCCTTGGGAAAATTCAAGGGACGTCTCTTTCAATCATAATCCAAATAAGTGTCAAAATGATTCTCGAAAATATCTGTGCACAGGTGTGTGGTATTTTAAAGATGATACTTTACCACCTGTTTTCATTTACAGTACAAGAGTTGTTTCCCTTAGCTCAGATAGTATTACAGACGCAGACTGGTTCCATCGATGACAAAAACATCTGGTAGAGAAATTTACAACAACCACAGAAAACACAAATTTTCCCACACATAAATTTTGACTTTAATTATAATATAAATGTTTTTTCATGTTTTTTCAAGAATCACAGCTTGTCAGGTTAAAGTCGTGCCGCTCAAGGTTGTCAAGGTTTCTATGCTGTCTGTGAAAAGTATTTTTCTAATTTGAAAACTATCTGGTGATTAATTTGAGGTGGTGAGATGATGTTGAAAGACAGATATGGATATGAATTTTAATTGATTAAAAAGATAACTTGCCAAAAATGATGAGCTTTGCATTTATTTTATTTCTGGTAAAATTGTCATTTTAGTGGGAATATAATTTGTATATATCAGGACTGATAATTTTAAATATTCAAATTCATTTCCCAGACTCAACCTAGCGAAACACCTGCCAGGTTACGCCAGAAGGCAAAAAACAGGAATTTAAATTGACGCCACCCAAAATGCCACTGTTGAAGAAAATTATGAATCAGTAACATCCTCAGGTTACTTGATGAAGGTTCCAATAACAGAACAGAAGTCTTGTGATTGTCAAAGAGTGAGATAAGAGATGTCAGGCGAGGTTGGAACCATGATAGGAACTGTTTGCCTGAAGGTCATAATGAAGGTCAAAGTATAATGTTTACTCATTTATCATGTTATAACTACTGTCTTTCACAAATTGCTGTACAAAGATACAGGTGGGTGGGGGGTTAGATACCAAAATTGGCGGGAAAGTGAACCAGTAATATTAACCAATTCATTAATCATACTAAAATTTGATTTTCTATGCTTTGAAACTTACATTAAATACATGAGAAATAGTTTTTAATACTTTAAACGTAATAGAAGTCAAAGTAACATCACAAAAACACGTCAATTCCTTGTTTAAATGAATAGCATGCACCACCTTGCGCCTAAATTCCAACATTGCATAAACTACAGTTGAGTAAGAAAACAAAGAAAGAAACGTGGCTCTAATTTCAGCAATTTTAAACTTATTCCCAGGCACCTGGAGACTGTCAGAACTGAGTATGAATGAGAGGAAGTTGTAGTTGAAAATGTCAAATTACATATTTTTTGTCTAAAATGGACAAAAACTAGTCTTTTCTTATCTTTATGAATAAAATATTAAAATGTGGTTCAAAGGTGCGCTTCTGTTTTATTCATTTCTAAGATTACATCTGAATCAGCTAAAAACACGCAATGTCTTTAACTTTTCGTGACATTGATAACTTTTTCGTGACATTGAAAATGAGAAAGATATTTCGGAAACAAAGACTCTGACTTACACCTTACACAGGAAATATTTCAGATAAATTCTCAGAACTGTCAGAATACTTCAGAAACAAAGAACTCATTCTCTAGCTTCAGGGATGCCAGAACCTTGACCTGAAATTTAACTCTGGCTACCTATAGGGTATAACTGACACCTGGGTTTCAACTGACCCCTAACACCAGGGGTTTTTACATCAAGGAAACATTAGTATCTTATATACAAGCAACAAGCTGTGCTGGGATCTAATAAAAATAATTTGACAGTTTTGGAACATTTTAAAAATTTTGATGTCATTTTTGGATAAATATAAGTTTAATTTTCAATAAATATATGGTAAAGGCAGAAAATGGAGTAACCAATTGCTACAAGATGAGCCCTTTGTATTCAACCAGAAGCAATATGCTGAAATGTCTTGAAACATCTTGAAAATAGTCCATACAATGGAACCAAGATGGCATCATTAAAATTGAGGTCATGCTAATCTATGGTGTAACGCTCCCATGTGATGTCATTACCGAATTCATCATGGCTACCAACTGATGCTACTGTTTGGCTGGAAGAATTAACTCTACCTGCTGTATTCAGCACCTTTGAAACAAGACAAATGTTTCATTCTTTTTGTAGCATATCTACATACTTTAAAAGATCTTCATCAAAATTATTCATATTAGACAATAATATTTTAAAAAATTGATCAAACAAAAGGTGCCGATACTAGGAACTTTTGGCAAGTTTCTAAACTAAGTTGCATATATTCAGAATATTCTTTTCATGATAAATACCTGATAACTTTAGAAAAGATTAACAAATGACAAATTGAGATCAAGAATGAATCATAAAAGATAAAGACTGACTAAAACCAGGAATAAATCTTAACATACCAACTATCTGCATCACTAGCAGGAAACTTGATAAGCAAAATAAACAAATAACTTCTAGGGTCAATTACAATATTTAATAAGACTTTTGTTGAGTTGAGGAAAATCTGAAAGATGGCTTTTTTGGAATGAATTGTTTGAAAATATTGATAAATATTTCGTGGACCAGTTAAGCTTATATTCCAGCCAGTCCCTTTTAAACAATTACCAGACAGGACAGTCTTCCAGTCAAAAGTTATTTTTTCAGGTATCATTTCTTTGTTCCAAAATCAAGATATTCTCCAAACACTTTCCAAGAACCATTAGTTCAAAGAAAAAAAGCATATTTAAGAATTCACAATTTCCTACATATGGAAATTTAAATCAGAAAATATTTTGGCTCCAAATCAGAAGTACCTTAACCCTATCAGGTAAAAGAAACTATATCAGAACCAAAACAATGCCAAGAAACTAATTCAACTTACCAAATCTATGAAGTTTAAGTTCCTCAAACATTTTGAACTATATGATCATATTCCAGTGTATTCCTGAGGTTTTCTTATAAACACCTTGTACAGGTGACTAAAGGTGTGAACTGGTTCTACCTCAACTCTTCCACCTAGTTAGTATTCCTGGCAATCTACCTGACTCCTCCTACTAACCTCTGATTGACATCTCCACCTACTGCCATCAACCAATAAGAACCAAGGAAAATACAGGTTAGGCCAATCACAAACCAGAGATGCAAAATTCAGCCAACCAGGGCCAAGAATTATTTAAAGTGTAAAGAATCAATGATGCATGTCGTATGGAAGTGTGACTAATCTGAGGCTGTTATGTGTGTTGTATTGCAGTAAATGAGTGTGTAGTATCGCAGTAAATGGCTATCTTGTGTATGATTGGTAGATTGTATTATCCCTCTGCAATGACAGTGTTTTAATGTTGCTATTGTTATGTTGATTTGGACATGATGAGTTTGAAATGAACAGAAGGGTTGATTGATAATATTCTAAGCTAGTGATATGAGCTGTGATTTTCAACATTTCAGTGTGCTCTCTTATTTTGTGTTCTGGGCATGTTCTTCTGTAACATCAAAGCTTTAAAAAACAGGATTTTAATTAAAAAAAATTAATGAAAATTAAATCAATTTTCCTTAAAATTTCAACACTAAGAACAAATACTTAGATACTGGTATAAAATAGACTTTCAATTTTAAGTCACATTTGACACTCTGCAGATCCAATGGCTGATTAATTAAATGAAGGATGATCTATTGATCTAGTTAGATACAAGAATGGGGCATTAAAAGGTGATAATGTGTTTTTGTTAAGAAATAAAGATAAATCAAAACCCTGATAACTACATACTAAATATCACCACCCTAATCTGACCCCTCAATAATGGTCCCTATTATACCTTAACACCTTGGCTAATCACCTTCTTCTCTGGCTGTTTCAAAATAAACACCTTTCTAAGGATTCTGGTACAGCCCAGACAATGACAACCCAAAATCATGTAAAAGTATCAAATTATATTCTATTTTAAGCTTTATTAAGTGTAAATTATGTTATATTTTAAGCTTTATTAAGTGTAAATTATATTATATTTTAAGCTGGTATCTACAGGATAATTTTTTAATTGAATGCCCAATAACTTTTTTGTGATGTCAATGATTCAGTTCTTAGGAAAAGGGAAACATTTCAATGAATACAACCCAGTCTTGACCCCTGACAACTCTTCCAGATCCAGAGTATGAAAATTAAAGACAGAGTTAAGATTTAAATTTGAAACTGAAGAATAATGAAAGTGAAATAAAGAGTGAAGTAACCTGACCTGCCTTCTATCAACCATCAACAACTTGACCTGTTTACAGAATCCTAGTCTCTCTGTATCAGATTACACTGGTCAAACTTTAACACTGTTCACTGATTACAAAACTGACCACTCTTTAAATCTTATAACTTTTAGGTCTACCTAAATAAATTTCTTGTTGTCATACAGCAGAGTAGATTACTAAACACTAGTCACAGCACACTGACAGCTCTCCACTTTTTAAATTTTTGAAATGCACCACTAAATTAATATCATAAATAGGTCTACCAAATTCATGTTCTTGTTGCAATATAGTCACAAAAGGGTGGTTTCAGATCAATTATAATGGCTTCCCGAGGTACCAGGATGGGTTTAATTTGAATGCATTTGAAAGCAAAATTAATAGACATTGATACAAAAAAGAAAAAGAACTTGTATGGAAAGCAAAAAGACTGGCTGCATGCCTTCAACATCCTTGCAATTATCCACACTTTGCTTGACCATTATTAAATGGCCAAAATGACCACTGTCCTTGCAGCTGGACTGTCTGGACAGTTGGTGGTAATTTACAGATTTTAAACTGACCATATTGTAATTATTGGGATTGATTTAGTGAAAAGGAAAGGTATCAACTTAAAGATAATTTATTTTAGTAATGATCTAGTTGCAGCTCTTGATGATTCTGTTACTTTTTACTTTTCCGGAGAGTTCTGATTTTGTTGTCAAATAACATATATTATTAGTATTGTTGTTCATTAATTTTGCTTGTATGTACCTAAGTTGGGTGGAATGCAAGAAAGACTATTAGTCAATTTTCTTACCATAATAAATTGATTATTATCATTAGAAAATCTTTCCTAATGAAATATGGTTATCTTCACTTTTGTTTGAAACATTTTAATTTTCTCCTTTGTATTCAAGATTAAAATCAGCAATAATTACTGTCTGATATTTACATTTTTCAAAGTGTCAACATCATGGAAAAATCAAATAAATTATAGCCATGCAATCAGTAAAATTTCTATCAAGCCCATAGAATTCCATGGGGTAAGGCAGCAAAATAACTAATTTCCATCAAAATAACTAATTTCCATAAAATACCTATTTCATATCTACATTATGTTCGTCCAGTAATCAATTTGATATTTGAATCAAGGCTGTTACAAAGTTTATGATATCATCTAAATAACAATCTAATCCATCACTTTTGTTAACAAAACATTCTAATCATATACTGGTATGCATCTTCTCAAATATCAATTAATGTAACATATTATGAATATAGGATACCCATTTCATTTATTTTTTAAAAAAATATATAATACCTGCTCTGTGTTAATAATGACATAAAATTAAAAATACTTGTGAAGTTTTTGTAATGTGGCAACATATTTTACACTATTATTTCCAATTTAAATTGCTCCCCAAATTATCATTAACAGTTCACTGAATTATATATATTATGTATAGTTACACCCATGTACCATGTATTTCAGCTCTTGGAAACAGCTTTAGAACAATAACTTTAGGTGCTGCTTTTTTGCTTTCAATTGAGATAAAGAATACAGACAACACACTCAATTTTGCCATCATAATCAACTACACCTATTCATTTTTTTTCTATTTCAAGCAGTTCTTTATAGACTTTAACCCTGAGTTTTCATGAAAACTTTGTTAGAAACTACTCATTCTTCTTAAACCCCTTTTAATAAAATTAATAAAAAACATTTCTGTTAACCAAGGAATAACTATGTATGTATGAAAAGGGGCTATGTAAAATGAACCATCTATTGATGTTTATGTTATCTAACACAATTATGTCATTCATAACATGATAAAGTTTAAATCAAATAACCAAAAACCAATTCATCTTTTTGTCACCTTAATTTTCTCACAAAATTTCCAGGCTTTCTAGTCAAGCGTTCTTTTGTAAAACCATAGAGAATCTAAAATCAGCATGGTTCCTCCTCTCCACCAGGGCTGTAACTACATCAAGGCAAATGCCTCATGCAGAATTTGACAAAAAATAAATTTGTTTAAAAATTCAGAAATATAAACATGATATCTGCTTAATATCTCGTTTATTTAGGTGGTTACTGTTGAAGTCTTCCAAAAGCGGTGCGATGACAGACATGACCAACGCTAAAGACAACAGGATTTTTGCCTCACCATGTTAATATTTGCTTTCACTATTTCTATGAGTAATGGAAGGTGCAGGTGTCTGATTGGTCAATCTGTAGGATACCCAGTTAAAACTATTAAAATCTTCACATCATTTTATATCATAGAACATAAAACTACAGGATACAAACAAATTTAGGATTGGATTTAAATTGGTATGAGATGATTTTAGTGGGTAATATTAAAACGAACTATAACAACAATGCATGAAGTCAACCAAGATTACAAAGAATTCTCTTGTTCAAATGTTTGACAATATTGCTAATAACAGTTAGAAACTTTTTCATTTATTGTTAACTTATCAGACTTTTAAAGCACCAACCATGGTATCATGAGATTCTCTCGTCTTCATTGGGATTCAAACCCATAGTCTCTAAATCTATCATTTGATTCAACTTATTTGAATTATCAATTGATCTGAAAAAGTGTAAAATGTCGAAAGTAGTAAATAAATTTGCACAATTTCCACCATTTTAAACTATGAAGTGCATTAGCCATTGTACAATTTTGAATAAATTTTCAAACATCATGTGAAGATGACAACTCTTCAGGTTTGACAAAATATTGAAAGGTATCAAGTTTTTCTCACAACAAAATTACTCCTTAATTATTCATAACCCATATCAAATATTATAGCTCTGACCTTTCTGCAAGTTTTTGACAAGAAATCAGCAAGTCAAATTGATTTCTGATACATGATTACGATCAAGTGGCACTTGTGTTGCACAATTTATGATAATGGATAAGTCAATAGGCTGATGAATAGATCAGTGGTGCTTCGTATTATATCCTACAATTATAGCCAAGCTAATATTGGTAGGGGCTCTTTCTTTTACACATACACATAAAGAGCAAATAGTATATTCAAATGTTAATTCATATACACAGACAATTTACACTGAGGAACTATCATGTGACTGCAGTCATGTGACACAAGTCATGTCACATGACAACCACAGGTACCAATAGCAACATCAATCAAATATAATTATGTCTAGAGCAGTTTAACATGTAAAACAATACATACAGCATGCAGCCTCAATTATAATATAAATGGCAAATTTTCTACCCCTATCATATCATTAAACCCTTGATAGCAATTGTCGTTTGGGAGAATCACTTAGACGTATGGTGAACAATGTCCCCATGTCACATGTCAGAAGTTAAACTGTGAGATAATAACAGTATTACATAGACAAGTTTCCTGGTAAATATCAACCAACTCCAGGAAAACAACCCTTATTTTAAACATGGAGGAAATCACTTCAACTTATTATCTTACAATAAAAGTTCATAAATGAAAGTTGAACACATTATTGAACTTTTCATTAACTCAAAAGTCAGGTACCTTTGATATTTACTTTGCAGTTTTAATAAACTTTTATATTGACTTTTATCATATGAACTTCACAGAAGACTTAATCCACAAGAATTATTCTTCAATTAGTGATGATAGTGAGGCAGAGCATGATCATGCAACAGAGTATCATCTGCACCCTGCCTGCATTACTAAATGAGACTGG